GAGTGTCTCGGCCACCACGGTTGCCAATTCCCGTGTCCCCAACATGCCAATTTTGACCGCCACGGGGGGTAGATCGTTGGCGAGACAGTCCAATTGTGCCGCCAAGAATTCCGGAGGAGGAGCATGGACGCCCGTGACGCCTTGCGAGTTTTGTGCCGTCAAGCAGGTAATGGCGGAACATCCATGCGCCCCCATGGTGTGCAGAGCGTGCAAATCTGCCTGAATTCCGGCACCACCACCCGAATCACTTCCGGCAATCGTGTAGACAATCGGCCGTTTCATAGTACTGCTAAACGTAGCAGTAGAATCCGCAGGAGTGGCAGCAGCAAAGGCAGACGCAGCAGAGAGACACCATGAGGAAGGCAGTAAACCCAACAGCCAAATCAGAACCCAACGAAAGCATAACTGCATCAAAATCCGAGCTACTGACCCTGAGGAGGACATACTCATAAAAATGTATCTACTAGTATCAAGCTACGTTGTATCTCGGCTATTGCTTCTCGTGGCTTTCGTGGTATTATAATGGAGATCGCCTCTCTGCCATGGTCATACTGATAGTTTGGTGGCTGGGACGAGTTGTCGGTTGGATCTTTTGGATCTTTTGGATCTTTTCGTTGATTGTATGACGTCATCCAATAATTGCCCATAACGCTACCGCTACTCTCAAGTTTGGGAAATTGCTTGTGTCACGCGGTCACGCGTCGATGGATCGGAACAACCATGGATGCACCGCGACGGCACCAAAGAAGCCACATGTACAGCTCGCGCCTAGCCTGTCGGCATTGATCGTAACCTACGCTACCTGATATGATCCTTATTAGAAACCCACGAAATAATGAAAGCAAGGGACACCAAAGCAACGACTCGACGGAAGATGCGAATGGATTGAGCGATGTCTGCTTGCAGAATTCTAAATTCGTTTCTCATGAAAACTCGAGGCTCGTCGTTGCGGTCGTGGTCTCGCCAACGCCAAGTCTTGTGGCGTTACGCGTTCAGTCATCGTCTCATTTTCGTTTGCAGTTATCATAGCAAATTCCTCTCACAAAACTATTATTAGTTCCAAAGGTAGTAGCTCCCCACACCCCAAGCAAACGTATCATCATGCCCACGAACATTTCTAAGAACAGCCAGGAGAAGCGCGAGAAGCGATGGCGTTCCAAGTGTCCCATTCCGGTAAAGGAACGCATCCGTCGGGCCAACAAGGAGGACATGAAGATTTTAAAGCAAGGATCCGTCAAGAAGCTTCAGTGTAAGTTTCGGGTTGCTGGATCGACTGGAAACGTATACACGACTACCATTGGAAAGGTTCCCTCGTGCACATGCCCCGACTACCAAAAGAAACAAGATGCTTGCAAGCATACCCTTTTCGTCTTGTTGAAGATTGTGGGGTTGGACGCCGTCGACGACGAGCTTCTATATCAAAAGGCATTTGTCTCGGCAGAACTGGAGGAGTTGTTCGAACGAATGGAAGAAAACAAAGAGTCGGCTTCTCGCTATTTTCAGCAGAATGACGACACGGACGTGGATGGGCTCATTCGCGACTTGGCTGTGACCAACATTGAAGAGGATGGTCGCGGTCCATTTCGGTACGATAACGTGCGAAGTCTGACGGGGCAACCATCGGAACGTGATCGGTCTACTTACCGTCCCTTTCATTGGGAGACTTCCAATAAGCGTTATTACTGAGAAACGAATGTGGTATCAGGAGGACAATTACATGGAAGGCACAAGAGAAACCACTCACGTTGCGGATTGAATGATGATGAATGTAGTCTAAGTCTTTGTCTAGCTAGAATCTTCTAAGGAACTTGAATACATCATACAAGAGCTATTGTAGTTACGACTCTTCTTTGCATGTGCCTGGCCGTCGCTGGCTCCCCCAGATAACCAAGAGGTCCTCTTTAGAAAACCCCTTTAGAGTCTTTTGAGTTGTGGCTCTGAGTGACGAGTGGAGGCCCAGGGGTTTCCACATTTCATGTCTGCTCACCGGCCACACTAGCCTCCTGAGCAGATGTGACACATGCCTTATAGCTGTCTAAAAGGCCTTGCACAATGACTCCGGAGCAGAACCAGAAGATCCAATGACATGTGAATTCTATTTCCCTTTTACACCACAGAAGAATTGGAACATGCACAGTCACATCCACACAAAGTGGAGCTACAATCAAAGTCAATATGGCAGGGCTGAGCCAACCAATCATCATCTTCGTAGACAGCACAAGACAAATACTGCAAGAAGCATAGCTCATCTGGGATTGTGCCAGACAAGCCAACGTTGCCAGTTACATTCAAAGCCTGCAGATTTGTCAAAAGTCCAAGCTCTGATGGCACAGATCCAGTCAGTTGATTTCCATCCAAATAAAGGACTGTCAAACCAATCAGCTGACCAAACTCAGAGGGGACAGGTCCAGTGAACTGATTATCATGGCACCCAAAGTGAGACATATCAGAGAGTCTTCCAAGCTCTGGTGGAAGCGGCCCAGTGAAATGATTTAGGGACAAATCCAACAAAGAAATGTTAGCGAGTCTTCCAAGTTCGGATGGAATTCGCCCAGTGCACTGGTTTCCCAGTAATGCCAAGTCACTCAAGCTAGTCAGCAGTCCAAGCTCTGAAGGAATCTGGCCTGATAACTGATTTACAGACAACAACAACTGATACAAACCAGTGAGTTGTCCAATCTCACTTGGGAGTTGGCCAGTCACTTGTTCAAAATTCAATCCCAAACAAGTCAAATCAGTCATCTCATACACCTCTACTGGAATCAGAGATGAAATTGGTGTATCAATGTGATTGAAACCGAACTGAAGGCGGGTCAAAGCAGTCAACATGGTGATCTCTGCTGGAATAGAAGGTGTCAAACCGGAAAGCTGGAGGTCTTCCAACCAAAGAGAGGTAAACTTGCCACGGCTGTTGCATACATGTTGTGAATCAATACCCATATCAAAGTATTTTCCTTTGTCAAAATATCCAAATCCACTGGAGAACCAGTTGCACTCATCCACTGTGTAATCCATCCATCGCTCCTTTATGAGAGGGTTCCAATTTTCTCCCTCAAAGGCATAGAAGAATGTAGCAAGAGCAAACAACTGCTCCTTTCTCCATTCTGGTAGCCATGTGATGTTTTGGTGGTTTGCAAGCCAATTCCATGCTCTCCACTGAGGAGTTTCACTGCCATTGTTGATCCTCGCCAAGGTGTGAATGGGAAGATTATCCAACAGCAAGTCCAGAACTCCACTGGGTGCAGATGATGGCATTTCAGAAGGAGTCATCGAGCCGAAGACAGTAGGAGATGGTGTTTGGTACACAACAACTTTATCGTCCTTTCCAGCAGTGCCAGCCACAGTCCCTATAATGGCAGCCACAGCGCAGACAGCCAGAAACAGAATAAAGAGGAGTGTTTGCCTCTGCTTTTTTGTTTCTTGTTCCCTTTGCTCTTGCTCCTCCAAATGCACGGGATCTGCATGCATTAAATCTTCTGGATCGTCCATGACTCGGTTAGCCACTGCCAATTGGTCCATGGAATTGCCGGATTGCCTTGCTTGATTGGGAAATAGAGCCGGGTCCATCACATGGTCAATTACCGGCAGCTCGGTTGTTGTGTCATTATTAGTTAAATTCGAATTTCCCGGGCCCGCCATGGAGTAGGCACCGGGCACCAAGACTTGTTGCTGCTGTTGTTGGATGGTTGAACGGACAAGTGTGGTCTCTTCCAGCGTATTTACTTGGTCATGAGCACAACCCAAGGCGGCACTTGGTTTTACGGGATTTGCCCCAGCTGCTGTTGTCCCCGTGTCTCTTTGCGAATATTTGGCTATGCCTGTGGTCTCTTCCAGCGTATTTACTTGGTCATGAGCACAACCCACGGCGGCACTTGGTTTTACGTTGGGGGTGGTATTGCATGGTTTCTTAGCAATCGAGGGACTGTCTGTGGCAGCCTCGTCGGCAGACTGCGGTGGGCTTTTTCCTTCCATCCTGCCGGCGACCGAGCTGCCAGCTGGCTCTAGTAGAACAAAACCAAACTAGGAGGATTGGTTTGCAAGGCAGAAGAAGCTGGATAATCTGCCTTCTCTAAAACCCCCACATAGTTCGAATCCCTGGTCTCTTCGATCCGTGGCGTTCCAGCTTGAAGGATCTGCTCCGCTTTCTTGCATGCTGCTTTCGGTCGGCTTGTCGGCTTAACAAAAAAGTGCGTTAATTGGTGACTTTTTCCAAGGTGAGTTGAAATTGTTAAATCCTTGAATGTTTTCTGACTGTTTTCACACATATAAGACCTTTCCCTTTAAACCGTTTTAATTGAACTGGGCCAGATCTATGTCTCAAAGCCTTAACTTTGGTAAATCGTTTGCCCTCACATTTTCAAGCGATTTACATGGTCGAGTCATTGAAATTCGCTCGTACTCGGACGGCTAGACTACCAAGTCTTCATGAGTTACCGGATCGCGGAAGCAACTCGAAGCGTCACGGAGAGCTCATCAAAGAGGATCCAAGGCTTCTACAGTCGTAGGCAACACCACAGAATCCTCCATACTTCATCTAGTCAGTGGTTACCTCACCTTTCCAGAGCTCCACTGTGGCAATTTCCCTACAAACCAAGAAACCAAGCCACTCCCAGCATCACAGCAATTCAAGAAGACTGAAGAAAGTGTAGCTTGAAAGCAAGTTAGTTCTTTTGTAAGCATATGTCAGTGAGTCTCAGTAGGGTGTGAGTACCGGTAGGGGTGCCAGTCGAGTCCTAAGTCCTACAGAACTGTACGAAGTAAGGCTAATCGTAAGGGTATCCACGTTTGAACCCACAAACCCGCACATCGTTCGATGCGGTGGGGCGGTGGGGCTCATCCACAGTCCAGCCACAATGTTTCCAAAAGTCACAAAGTGCAGGAGGCAACAGCAAATAACACATTAATAAATGTCATCATCACAATCAGAATCAAAGCAAACCTGGAGAGAGATCTTCCCGGGAACCGCCTGGTGTGTGGAAGGTCTCTTGGACGAAGAAGAATGCGCACAGTTGAAGGACATGGCAGTGAGGCAAGATGGAATTCTCGAGAAGACCATGCAAGGCGACACACGACATCGACAACGCGTCACATCCCGTTTGGACGCCCCGGAGCTCTCGCAAGCGATTTGGCAGCGTATCCAAGACAATATCCCCCAAGAAATTGTCTTGACGGACACGAACTTTGAACAGTTCAAGGGGCTCTTGGCATCACCCGACATACCCGAAGACTATTACGGCACTTGGAAACCCAGCGGCTTGACCAGCAACCGTGTCAATGTCGCATATTGTTCGGGCAAGGGACATTTGGCGGCTCACCGCGATGCCGACCATGTCTGGAACGAGCACGAGCGCAGCTTCTTGACCATCAACGGGTACTTGACCAACCGGCCAGTAGGATCGGGAGGAGCCACACGGTTCCTCGTGGATGATATTCGCGTCGAAGGATCCGATATCCCCATTAACGAAGAAAAACACGTCCTGGCGCGGGTCGAATCCGACAAGGCAGGAAAAGCCGTCGTCTTTTTCCATGGACTCATGCACGACGGAGAACCCTTGGCGTCGGACGACGAGCCTAAGTGGATCTATCGGGCGTTGGTGTACTATCGGCGAGATCCCGAAACAGCACCGAAGCTGTCCCAGGAAGCGCAGGAAGCACGCAAAGTATTAAAGGAGGCTGTGGCAGCCGAAGAGGCCGGACAAATCGGACTTGCCATTCAATTGTACAAAAAGGCGTACCGGTTGGATCCGTCGTTGGATCGATAATGGAGTTAGGAATAAGAATGATAGGAATACAGGCAGCGAAAGCCAACATTAGACTAGTTTTCGGTGTAGAGTGTCGGCCACACAGACGCAGGTCGCATGCGATTAGCCAGGTGCAGAAAGCAGTAGCTTCTCAGTTCTCAGAACGGATAGCCGCTTGACCACACTTTACACCGCACTATAGCTATTGCTTGCAGGCAGCATACTGCTGCGCGGAGAATGCAGGAGGAGATCCTTTGTGGATTGGATAGTCGAATGCAGATTTGGTTGTGTCGTCGACTTCATGTGCCAATGATGACAATCGCCACAAGGCGTCCGCCTCCTTCAAACCCGGAAGGAACGACGCATCGGCAGCGCCTTCGCGCCTGCACGATGCCATGACGCTCTCTGATGATCGAAGCTCCTTTCCGACTTCGAGTCCCACCAAAGAATAGCCATTGCTCGTCATGAAGGGGATCCAATGCCGGCACAAATCATTCTCTGCCCCTTCATAGGTTATTGTATTCTCCATGTACACTTCCGTCTTCAAATGCTGGATCCCTCGTTCGCGGATTGTTACAATGGAGGATTTGATAATGGCAAAGTCGTGACCTTGCGCATCCGTTTGGATAAAGTCAATGGCGACATGCGGTGGAATGGCGTCTAGAACATCCTGCATGGCCATGACGGGCACAATGCGAATGCCTTGGTTCTTGTTGCCTTGATTCCAATAACTATCTTGAGCCGCCTTGCTCAAACTGGACGAGACACCGTTGCGGTTGTAGGCGTACATGGTGGCCAATGACGCGGAAGTCGACACCGCTGCGGGGACCACGTGCACCTGAGGGTGCGACGGAATGGCTTGAGGAATGATGGGTTCAAAGGCAATCGTTACAGCGCAAGGACCAGCGGATTCCTTGGGGAGGATGGGGTCGCGGTTGGAGCCAATGTTCAGTACTACCGTCTTGGTGGCAGGCGGCAGATCGAGATAGGCTGGTTGCTTCTTGCTAATAGTAGCCTCGCTGGCAGTGTTTTGGTGCTCTTGTGGTGGCTGCTTATTATCCCCCTGGAACGTGTCCATTGCCTGATTTTCTCGATCGTCATTGCTCATGGTACCGGCAAGGACCTCCATCATGTTTCGAGTGGTTCCATGTAACTGACTGAACGTGCTCTTTGCGACTACAACCCCAATGCCAATCCCCACGACGATCCAGAGAGAGCCAAAGGCTTTTCGTTTGACAACAGTGGCGCTTTTGAGCTTTTTCATTGTGTCTGCTACCTGTTGATTGTACAGGTTCGTACCCTGGCGACCCTGGCTACCCTGGCTACCCTGGCTACCCTGGCTACCCTGGCTACCGGTTTCTCTATCTAGAGGACAAGATGCATGTCCTATGATAGTTTATTTGTGGCTGTGTTTCAGCGATTTGGCAGTTGGTAACCTGTTTCAGTAAATGTCACTGTTTGCTCAAAATCGAAGTGTGATCGATAGTGGAGGCAGTGAGCCTCTATTTTTTGCAATTGGTGGCAATTAAGCTCCTGATTTTTCGAGGTGCGCCCGATCGAGACAAATTCGTGAGCATTTCATAGCATTAGATACAGATACTGGTACCGGTACCGCTACATGTGCGTCCAGCTACAATGAAGCCTCAAGTTTGCCATCTCATGCAGATATGCTACCGGTGGCTAGCTCGCGGCGTTGAAGTATCCGATACTACATGTAATTTGACTGGGATTTTAAAATAGAGCTCTTGCGGTCATCACAGACAAAGCCAAAGGGCATTCCCATGCATATGGACGCAGCCATCGCCCATCCATCAATTTCCATACCAATCGTCCTGCACTCTAACCCATAGTCCCAGCACCATGGAAGAAGACAACGTTTCTGACCTTCTTTCAGCCAGAGGGTATGAATCCATCCAACGAACATGATGGCGATGCTCAAGGTGGTACCGGTACCGGTACCGGTGACGGTAACTCTACCAGTACTAGAGACTTTGGTCATCAACCAGACCAGTTTGATGACAATTCAGCAGTAACGGATAGCCTCATCAAGCGAGCGGAGACAGAAGCCGCACAGCAGTACCTTGACGAAGCACAGCAGCGCAGAGATGAAGAATCTGATGCCAATAAGGCTCAAGTAGAAGACAAGACACGTACTACTTCTGGTTCTACTACTCTTACTGGGAGCACAAACGAAGCCAGGGAAGAAGGCGACCAAAAAACCGGATCAGAAATTATGGAGATTGTGGCAAAACAAGCTGATCTGGCAATGACGCATCATCTACAAGAAGAGCAAGAAGACCTCAAGAAAGCATACAAGACCACTCCCTGTCAAAACCCCATACGCGCCAATATGAAATTTCTGGCAACAAAATCACCTGAGGCATGGAAAACCACTCCCAATCAACATCTCTTGCTTGCAGACCGAAACAGAAATCAATGGAAGTGCCAAAACCGAAATGCTGACAAAGGATGCATATGAGGCAACGGAAAGAGAAACACTACCACCAGGAAATGCACGACGAGGAGCAGGAGCGCCAGGAGAAGCCTTGCTGCAACCAACGAATAATGCTACCAATCATCAAGCTATATTGAATGATTCTGTGGAATGGTTTGAGCCAATCCCAATGCCACCTACAATATTGCACCGAGGAGCCAACCACGGGCCACAATCTCGTCCCGGAGCCTACACAGGCAGAAACTTGCAGCGCGTCCAAAGTCTTGATTTCCACCTTGTGGGTAACAACAATGAAAGCGAAAATGCTGTCAATGAACGTCGATCAAACACCAATACTGTCCCACATCCTCCTGTCACCAATGACCAAGGACTGGTTGAAGCTAGGGCTGTTATGGAGGAATCTGAGAGTCAAGTCTTCCAGGAAGCCCAGCAAGTTGATCATAATATATTGGGACAACAAGCTGGCAGAGAGAAAAGGGAAAAGGAGTGCCAAAGAATTGGATTTGCCGTTGCTGTTTGTTCTCTGGTTATTATCACTATCAGTCTGGTAGTTGGACGAAGGCCCAAATCATAAACCACCCCAACGCTAGCACTATCGTTTCGACACTGCATATGCTCTAGGTGTATTTGGTCGTATCTAAATAGTCCTAGCTAGCTAGTGAACTGCCCATGCCAACCAGATTGCGGACAGCTGAGGCGGTGGCTGGGAGTCGAGGAATAAGAAGTAAAAGGAATTTCTTAACATTTTCTAAAATCTCAGGGCTCGCTATCTAGAGTAGAGTTTCTTATATTCGAGTCTGGAGTGTAACAGAAGCCAGTGATGGGGTGAAAGCCAGCATTCATTTCTGTTCCACAATTACTTTACTATACAACTATCAGTAAAAGCAATGTTCCAGTTGGATCAAGAAAGATTACAAGATTACTGGCTTGTTCCCAATCAAAGGGAAGAGCTGCGAAGCCAGTGTTCCTCGAAACCCTATTCATATTCCAGGCTTTAAAGCTCGTGTTCTTTGGAGCACTGGCTTCTTAAATCCCAATATCCCAACCAAGAATCAAATAAATACTTGAGACCAGACTACTGACTACGGAGTAATTACTTTCTCCAGCTTTCCAAGCCATTGTACTTCGCTACTGAGTAGAGTACACCTAGCTGGCTAAACCCCCCTAAATTACAGCAGCTATTCCCTCTATCCCATCCAGAGTAGTAGACTACCGTAACTCTTGGTTCCTCTCGGCGCTAGCTAGCTAGAGACCTGTTTGTGAGTTGTGAGAGGTTGGCCGTTCATTTCAATGGACAAGGCACAGAAAATCGCAGAAACAGTACCACGGAAAAAGACAACGGTGCTGACCTTTCCAAGAAGATGAATCCATCAAACGAACATGATGGTGGTGCTACCGATAACTCTACTAGTAGAGATGCTGATCATCAACCAGACCAGCTTGATGATGACTCAGCGGTTCTGGATATACTCATCAAGCGAGCAGAGGCAGAAGTTGAACAGCAGTACCGAGATGAAGCACAGCAGTACAACAATGAAGAATCTGATGCCAAAAAAGCTCAAGTAGAAGACAACCAGCAAGTTGCCAAGAAAAGGGAGACCAAAAGCACACCAAGCCATGGAAAAGGCAACCCAAAAGGGCAACTAAAACAACATGCTACAAATGAAACCAGGGAAGGAGCAGAAGAAGGTGCATCAAAAGAAATATTGGAGATAGTGGCAGGACGAGCTGGACTGGCAATGAGGGAGCGTGAAAAAGAACAAGAAGACCTCAAGCAAGCATGCAATACCACTCCCAATGGCAATCTCGTAAGCACTACGGTGGAAACAGGAATCAACGAAACTGCCAAAATGGAAAAGCTGGCAAAAACAACACAAGAAGAGGCAACAGAAAGAAAAAGGGTGCCACCAGGAAATACCCACCAACAAGGAGAAAAAATCCAGAATACCACTCATCAAGCCCTATGCGATAACGTTGTGCAGATTGTGCCACTCATACCCCCGGAAACCACACAGGGTTATACAAGCCAACTGTCATCCCGACCTGGAGCGTACATGGGAGCTCCAGGTGTGGCCTTGATTCGTGCAATCACTCTCCAATACTCTCTCCTGGGAGCGAGTGGAACTACTGGTCAGGGTCGTTTGGTGCAGGTGGATGGACCAGTTGATTCCTCTTTTGTCGAACAACCAAATACTGCAACGCCGAGCGCCAACCATGAAACTAGTGACAACCAGCAACTGGCAGTGGCTAATCCAGTTCTGGATGATCCTGATGAGGAGCAAAGGAGGCCACTGGCCAATCCAGTTGATCTTCAACAAGTTGAGGAAAGGGAGCAAAAACGAAAGAGACAGTGGCGGTTATATATTTCATTGGTGGTTATACTGTTCATTGTGATGGCCATTGTTGTTGGCATGGTCATTGGAACACAACAGAACAAGGACCCAGATGTTGTTGTTGTGCAGTCAACAGAGACACCAACTGTGTATGGTTCCATGGAGCCTTCTGAAGTGCCATCTTCTGCACCCACAGGAGTGCTGGACTTGCTGTTGGATAATCTACCCAGTCAAACATTGGCTAGGATCAACAATGGCAGTGAAACTCCCCAGTGGAGAGCATGGAATTGGCTTGTGAATCATCAAAACATCACATTTCTTTTAGAATGGAGAAAGGAGCAGCTGTTTGCACTAGCTACATTCTACTATGCCTTTGAGGGGGACAATTGGAACCCTCTAATAAAGGGGTTTGGGTGGATGGATGACACAGTAGGAGAGTGCAACTGGTTCTCCAATGGATTTGGATACTTCTATGAAGGAAAATTCTACGAATATCGTGGGCAGCTTTCCTGCAACAGCCATGGCAAATTTACCTCTCTTTGGTTGGAAGACCTCCAGCTTGCTGGTTTGACACCCTCTATTCCACCAGAGATCACCATGTTGACTTCTTTGTCTCACCTTTATTTGGGTAACAATGACATTGCAGCATCAATTTCATCTCTGCTTCCAGCAGAATTGTATGAGATGACAGATTTGGCTGCTGTTGTATTGTATGACGACCACTTGACTGGCAATCTCCCAAGTGAGCTTGGACAACTCACTGCTTTGTATCAGTTGTTTTTGTTGGAACATCAGTTATCAGGTCAGATTCCTTCAGAGCTTGGACACCTAACTGGCTTACATGAGCTGGCGTTTTGGGGAAACCAGTTCACTGGGCGAATTCCTTCTGAACTTGGAAGACTCACTAACATGTCTCGCTTGGAGTTTACCATAAATCAGTTCACCGGACCCCTTCCATCAGAGCTTGGAAGACTCTCTGAACTGTCACAACTTGGGTGCAATGATAATCAGTTCACTGGACCAGTCCCCTCTGAGTTTGGACAGCTGATTGCTTTGTTTGAGTTGAATTTGGATGGAAATCAATTGACCGGACCTGTGCCCTCTGAGTTTGGACTTTTGACAAATTTGGGTTCTCTGAATCTATCTGGCAACCATGGCTTGTCTGGCACAATCCCAGAGAAGCTATGCCTCTTGCAGAATGTGTCTTGCACCTATGAGACAGCTTGGCGCACTGAGCCCTGCCATCTTGGGTTTGAATGTACCTCTGTTTTGTGTGGATGTAACTGTGCCTGTTCCAATGATTCTCAAACAGAAGGAGGACATAGATACTGAATTACAATGTTTTGAACAGAGGATGCTAGTATATATGATTCCGATTGTGCCCTAGCTAGCTACCACAATCACTTTGAAAAGTCAGTCCGTACGTGCGGCATTGCAGTTCATCTCTTTTTTAGTTTTTGGAAACAGTAGCTATACTTTTACCACAGTAAAGCTAAGTCAAGCTAGCTGTAAACTTCTCTCGTACAGCCCGTTCGTGAAAGCGTGTGATAATAAATAATAAACTATTTCAATGCATACTCAGCGGCGAGCACAGGCAATGCCACTTCATGAGCAGTTCCTTGACACGTCCGACCGACTCCATGGGCTCCTCTTTTCGATGCGCGAGCAGTAGATGCAACCAATCGTCGGCAATATCCTCGTCCGTCTTTGGTTTGCCGACTTTCATTTGATCGTAGTGCGCTTGGGGTACCGGACAGGTCGTGAAGAAACAGGGCACGGCGTAACGAATTCCCGATGTGATTTTTTCCACCTCGTGCATGTTCTCCCACCCCGAGGAGAAAATGGCAGCCGCTCCGCGGGTGGGTGCAAAGGGCGTCATTTTTCGTCCCGCCTTGCGAATCTCGTCGGACAGCGAAATGTACGCGTCCTCGTCTTCGTCGGCCACCTCAATGACCATATCATCCTCGGGGAGCTCTTCTCCATTGAGTATCTTTTGCTCGAGTGCCTTGAGCGCCTCGTTTTCTTCATCGCTCTTTTGGGCCTCCATTTCCGCTTCTGTCTGTGCATCGGGATCGGGGTCATTAAAGACAAAACTCCCGCCTTCAAAGTCTTCTCCCTGTGTACTCAAATACAGTACGCACGAATAGTGATATCCCGAATGAGTAGCTTCATCGGTATGAAGCGTGACAAAATCTCCTTCCCCACCGCCTCCTCCTTTTTGCGTGGTTCCCGCCACGTATTTGCGCGAATACGCTTGCAACGGGAGAATGGTCGACAATGGCAGTCCGTATTCATGCGCAATAGTACGACGCACTCGTTCAATGAGTCGTACAAATTGCAAAATAGTCTTGGCGGATACCTTTTCCAAATTGTTGAATGTAAACGACGCCAATTCGGGAAATGTCTCGAGATCACTTTCGGGTGTCAATGCAAATGTCGGAAAAAAATTGCGACTGCATGCATCGCAGCAATCCCCTCCTTCGCAGCACCGGCCTTCTTTCAACGGCAAATCTTTATGGGCCGAATCGTCAAAAATATAATTCATACGTCGCGCGGCTCCTCCGACACCCACGGAATCGTCCGGTTGCATGCACGTGACATTGGTGGTCTGTTTTTCTCTTTTTAGCAGCAATTTGTGATCGGCGTCAAAAATGTGATGCAGCATAATGGGAACATTTTCCGACAATGGCTGATCTGCCGCTTCGGCCGTGTCGACGGCATTGACAACGGCCCAAAAGGCAGCGTTGGTCGTGTCGTCGTCCATTTCCACGTTGCCAGATTCGAGCAACTTCGTAACGGCGTGTCCGTCCATTTGAGTGGCGGCCTGATAGAGCTGCTCTTCAAGAGAACCACCAGTAGATTGATCATCATCATCAGCTGCTGCTGAGTCTTCCTGTATCTTGAGGACGTCCACATAATCCTCAATTCGTAACATGGCTGCCTTCAAGTCAGAAACTTCGCTGCTACTGAGCGAATCGGGACCCTCCTTGATGCGCTTTTCCAACGTTTCCAGGCAAACTTTGGCCTCATTCGTTTCGGCCGACATGGACAGCCTTGAGCTTTTCCAAAGGACACGAGGAGATGGGGCAAAAGCCACGACATCCTTGGCAATCCAGGATGCCAACAGAATGGCAGAGACAGTTACGAGTTCTCTCATTTGGATTGGGACAGTCAATTGGGTCAACGGTGCAATGATATTGGACTTTTGTCTCCACAATTTTATGAGAGTTGCTTCAAAGATCTTTCTTTCTATTGGGATTGCGTGGTCTCCACCCATCACCCGTTGGGATTTGGGCATGGGAACTGTGGCACCTCGTGCGTCAGTTGACTCACGAATAAGAGTTTTAGTCAACATTGATACGGTTAGAGTTATTTGGTGATGAAGGTTCCGCTCACGGAAGAACAACTGCGCCACGCCCCTTTGCCACACCACCAAGGGAGGTGCTGACTGCCTTTTGTGGTTACAATACTATGGTTACTATGTCCGTTTGTCAATTCCAGCGCTGGTTTGGTTGATAGCCGTGCTCAGAGGGTCATCCTCATGGTCATGTATTTCTATTATGGGTATGTTATCGTTCGCGTTTCTACAGAGACAATATCAAACAAGAAGTGTGCTCAATCCTTCACATCCTGAGGGACATTGTCGAAGATGGGACCTCCTCACTCCAGGCAGCTCTCCATGCCTGAACCATCCCAAGGCTGATTGGTAATGATGGTCTTGAGCTCCAAGGCTACGGGGATTGGGATCCCCTGTTGGCAAGCTCACTCATGAGGAGGTGGCTCCCGGGAGCTCTGCGGAACATCAGAAGAACAGCTGCGGAAGGCAGCAAGCCTTGGATAAAAGGGGTCCATAATTGCTTACGCTTCGGATGTGCTCCAGAACTACATGTACTGTAGCTCTGTAGCTCTAGTACACGTAGGAATTAAGTCAGTGGCGACAGTTACGGTACGAGAGGTACCGGTAACTCGAGCACAGTAAACTATTTCTTTTGAATGTATGTGCAATAACCCTTTTGGTCTAGTACGGTAGTCAATGCATAGAAGCACCTAAAGCATGCTAAAATCGCCACACACGAGAAAGAATGAGGAGAGTGACAGTCAGTCCCGGTATGTCTCGCTCATTCCAAAAACGATCATCGCCACCGTTCTAAACAAACCATAGCTCCTAGAGACGGTCGTCTTCCAACTGCTCGCTTGTTACGTTATGTTGCCACACAACCATCTATGCATACAGTATCAGTGGTATGGTATTCCCGCATACAGATAACTTACCAAGCTGGCTCCGAGCAGCTATCAAAACAAGCACGGGAACAGTGCCATTATCGCGCTCAGCGCCATTAGCATCTGTGAAATTCTAAAAAGTGCCTGTCACCATGACGAGTACTGCCAGCATCGGCCGTCAACGGAGCTCCATGTCTCTGCCTCGTCCATCTCTGAAGAACGATTCTTCTGAGGAAAAGCACCTCGTGTTGAGTCACTTTCGTCGTCGTCCGGAAGAAATGACGATTCTCCATGCGCTTGCCATGGCCCGCGAGACTCGGACGGTGCAGGTGGTGATGGTGGGTGGCAGCAGTGGAGTTGGCAAGACCACGACAGTGACCATGGCGTTGCAGAATAGTATTAATAGTGCTCAGGATTGCTGGAGAGGTACTGCCAAATTCGAACGACGCAAGTCCCCACTGCCATTTGCCCCGCTCCGACAGTTGCTAAGCAGTCTCTGTCAAGTCATGCAAGCATCAGAACTACGAGAGGAATGTCGACAAATCTTACTCAAGACTCTTTCCTCCAGTCACATTCACATATTATCGGGTCTCGCCACCACCCATCTACAAGCCTTACTCGACGAGGACGACGATGGACCCGATGACATTAGTCAATGCAGTACCGGGACACTCTCCACAATCAGCAGTCAGCAGAGCAATCAGAGTCTGGTGGTTGAGGAATCCTTTGGTACTGATGACGATGAGAAGGAAAGTAGTGACACCAGCAACACAACAGCCATTGTCAAAACTCCCACCTTTGGATCCACCAGCTCCGCCTCCTCGTTGCATACCAAAGACATTGACGGGAACACACTCCACGAACTCAAAATGGCGGTACGTGCGTTCCTACAGGCCATCACCACACTACGACCCGCTATTCTGTGTATGGACGATATCATGTGGAGCGATGATGCCACATTGCAAGTCTTACAGGGACTGTTACAGGTAGAAACTACGAAGGGGATACTCGCTTGCATCACGCATCACAACGACGTCGATCATGAATCGAAACATTGGAGTACCTGGAAAACCACACTGCAAGGTAGTGACGCCGTGCACTCCATGGTCCTACGCAACTTGACACTGTCCGAAGTCACCGCTCTGTTGGCCGATTCCATGGGAATGGACGTGACTACCAATACCAAACCACCGCATCGAGTCGAAGATCTGGCCGAGCTCTGTTATGGATACACACGCGGCAATCTATTCTTTTTAGCGCAAGTCATTGAAAACCTACAAGAGACGCAGTTGCTGCAGTATGATCGACTAAAGATGCACTGGAGGTATGACACCGATGAAATCAAGAAAGGACAAACGTCACTCTCCAATAATGTGCTGCAAGTCGTCTCGAGTCGACTGGAACTCTTGCCGGAGCACGCACGGCAAACACTCCAATTGGCGTCCTGCTTTGGATCTCGCGTTACCAAAGAGGTACTCGAAGTGTGTCAATCCGTCTTGAGCAGCGACGATACTACTACCAAAACGGAGAGCCTGCAACTACTCTGCAGTACCGAATTCTTGACTTGTTTGGCTAGTACCGAACAACGATTCTACCAGTTCTCGCATGATTCCATTGAACTGGCGGCCTTCTCCTTGTTACCATCCCAAGACGGCCAAGCCATGGCCCAGCTTCATTGGAAAATTGCGGCTCTTCTCATGGGACATTTGCCGCGCGCACCCAAGGACGATTGGCTCTTTTTTGCCTGTGTCGATCAACTCAACTTGAGCGCGGGTCTGGCGCAGACGCTCGAAGAGCGCATTCAAATCGCCACGCTAAACTTGAAAGCCGGTGCTCGAGCGGCCGCAATGTCGGCCTTTTTGCCAGCCTCCAACTATTTGAGGGCTGGGATTATTGCCTTGGGACCTGATCCCTTTACCGTGGAAGATACCTACGATTTTGCGATTCTCTTGCATTCGCTCTACAGCAAGACACTGTATTGTGTGGGGAATATTGTCGAGAGCCGGGACATGGCCGAGTTGGTAGTTTCCAGTGCCAAGACGGAACCGGAAAAGGAAGCGCCCTCTTTTACATTGATCAAGTGTTACTTTGCCGAAGATGAAGGCGACAAACTCGTAGATCTGTGTTTCGAACAGCTAAAACGCCTGGGGATTCAGCTGCCCAACAACCCTGGGACCTGGCAGGTGCAAATGGAACAAAGGAGACTGTACCAGACGATCCGAAAGTATCCTGACGACGAAAAGTTGTTGGCTCTATCTCGCATGAACGACGACACCAAAGCGTTGGCACTGCGGATTCTCTGTGAGCTTGTCTTTACGTTGCATCACCAGGGAAGAACGGCGCTCCTGGGGCTGGTCACTTCGTACGTATTCGATCTATCGTTCAAGCTTTGTGAACTCTTTTTGACATTGATGACTTCATCCTCACAATTCTTTCTATGTGCGACCCTCTTCTCTTGTGAACGATCAGTCAAATGTTCCAGATCACAGCCAAGTACGGGTATTGCAGATACACACCGGAAGTCTTTGCCGTGGTGGGAGCATACTTATCCAGCCGGGGTCAGATCAAGGAGGGACTTCGCTTTGCCGCCTTGGCCGAAAAGCTGCTCGAGTATCCTTACTACAGCCGGAACCAAGAAATCAAAGGACGAGCCTACGTCTACATTGCTGCGTTTACCAAGTGGTGGGTTCTTCCAATCCCAAAGAGCTTGGATCTCCTCATCGCGGGCAATGAAAATTGCATGGCATCTGGCTGCATTCCCTACGCTTGTCACAGTCAAATCCTTTACTCCACCAACTTTTTCTACAGCGGGCTGCCGACAGAGTCATTGTTGCACAATGTTGAGAACTTCTGCACACTCATGCTCGAGTATAAGCAAGAAAGGGCCTTCTTGGTGCTGACGCCACTCTGGCAATGCTTACTCAATCTAGCCGGGCAATCTTTGGATCCATTGGACATGAAAGCGGGGTATGCTCATGAGCAGCGACAAGTGGTGCTCGACAAAGCGTCGGGCGATGCTTCAGCCTGTTATATCAACTGCTATGGGATGCAGCTGGCCTACTACTTGGGCGATTTGGACAAGGCCATTGAGTATTCGAAGCAGCTCAAGGAGAACTTCAATGGGTTGAGCAAGGCTTGCGTTAACTATGTCACCCAGCTCTTTTTCTTTGCGTTGATTGCACTTGCCCGGTATCGAAAAGACAAGAAGAGAGTGTTTCGAGATGAAGCCCAAAAGTACATCAAAGTGGTGCATGGGTTGGTCAAAGGTGGTGGCATGAACATTCTCCACAAGTTCCAGCTTCTGGAAGCAGAGTTGGCCGCTGTCCTGCCAAACACGTCGGTCGAGGATGGGTGCAAAAAGTACAGCGAGGCCATTGTGTCTGCCCAACAAGCAGGCTTTTTGCAGGATGCTGCCCTGGCCAATTACCTGTGCTTTTGGTTTCGTAAGAGCCGGAGTGATGAGGACGAAGAATCCTGTGGGCATCACTTGGAACAAGCGTACACACTTTGGAGGACTTGGAATGCTCATGCTGTGGCAGATTCGTTGGCAGACAGACACCCGGACGACTTTGCCAGTATTCTGGCATCAGAACCGATTCCAAAACCATGCATTCCTGCGAAGTCGGAAGGTTTTCCATCAATGTTGGCGGATCAGCATAGACCACTACCCATACTTTAGGACATGGACAACTATATCCTCCTAAAACTACCTCGTCCTTTTGTAGCATTTGGCTTCTAGCTAGTATTGTGAAAGAAACTTCAGCGTGAAATGCGTGGAACTTTCCCTCCATGCGTCACATAAGCGACTTTGTTACCCTGTTCCTACTAGCTAGCTAACCAACTTTCTGTTGGTGTTAACTCTTGCTGCGGTTTCTTTGTTCAGACCAGGTGCCTCAAGAGGGAGAACGCGACAAGCTCTTGCACAGACGGAGGAGAGACAAGATGATGCTGTCTCTCAATGCAAACTCCAGTCTGGTAACACATTTGAATACGTTAGCTCATCTGGCTTAGATTATTCTCGAAGGCAACACAGAAGACAGCACGAATGAGAAAACAACGGCAAGAAAGATGAAGGATAAGTGAGTGGTTGGTGGCTGGCTCCGGTGCAAAGCCAATACCGTAGAGGGAGAACCACGGCGAGTGATGTTCTGATAATCATCTTTTCGCTGCACTGTATCCATTCCACCCCGCAAATCGCCATGTGGCTAGCTAGCTAGGCACCGTGGCAAGCTCTGCAAGTGTGGAGACGGATTCTCAACTTTCCAGCTGAACGACTGGGCACGGGGCTGTCCACCTGGATCCAGGAGCCATAGAGCACCAATAGTCTCGTAGAACCTTCTCTGCATCAAGAGCTGAAATGACAAGTATCCAATGATGAAGGCTTCTTTCCAATCTCCACTCCGTCGTTTGGGTTGTGCCAAGTATGTGATGCTGTCTCTGATTCCGCTTGTCAACCAATTGTTCCCGCTGCTGTGGACCAAAAACTACCTCGGTATGATCTTGTTTCGAGATCGGCACGACTTCCCCCTCGTCACGGTCTCTTCACAGACAGGATACAACACATTGGAAGAAACGTATGATAACCGCCAGCATCAGGAGCTCCTTCATCTTCTCAAGAGGAACCCTAAGCCTCGTATTCTATTCGTTCGTGACAATGCAGCGAAGAGCACTGATGCCACGACCATGCCCACCAGGCTAGGGTCAATGTATCGTCTTGTGTCCAACCTGAGCGACAGCAAGGTAGGGGGAAAAGCCATCCGATGGGAACTTCCGGGACTTCGGGAGCAACCCAAGTATCCGCTTGTCAAAGGCTTGTGCGAAGGCAAGGGTCCCGATTGTGTCATACCTGAACTATGGCTTTCGAACAGGAACATTACGGCTTGCAATCCCATTCACGAAATTGACCTATCCAAAGGTCCTCGAATAGTTGCGAAGGGCGGGAAGCGCTTGGTTTGGAAAGTCAGCCAACCAGTTGTCAAAAAGTACGAGACTGGTGGCAAGTTCTCAACTACCCATAACGCAACCGTGCAACGAAAGAAACGCTTCCCCAACGTGGTCCTCTTTCGATTGAAACCGCCGCGAGAGGATGATCTAGCAGCCCTCAAGATGTTTCGTTTGAGCAGAGACATGCCAAATGACTTTGGACCACAGTCCATTGACAATCAGCACCGCGATGCGATGATTCATCAACTCTTGACTTCATCGCCCAACATTGTGAATATCTACGGTTACTGTGGAGCCTCGGCGGTGTACGACTTTGCAGATGGAGGCAATCTACAAGACAACATTCTTGGTTCTACTTACAAAAAGCAAAAGAAGGGCATGCAAGCAAAACCCGGCAGTGGACCCTTGCACGAGGACGAGCTCCTGGACGTGGCCCATCAGATTGCAAGTTCTTTGGCCGACCTTCATCTCTTGAACACTCACACTGGAGAGCCCATGATTTCCCATGCAGATATCTATGGACCCCAAGTACGTATGCGTCTCCACTCTATTGACGTGCTGCCTTGAATCACCGACTGAATCCCTCACATCTCTCTCGATCCAGTGGGTCAAAGTACGGGGAAAATACCAGCTCACAGACTTCAACCTGGCCAAGCTATTGGTCCGATCCAAGTTCAAGAATGTCATGTACCCTTTCACACGAGATGTCGTGGACAACGTAAGCAATGACGCCAGCACTCTGAATAGAATTGCACTCCTCAAGCACTCCTTCTCTCACCGTCCTTGCTCGAACAGTGGTTTGCACCAGAAGTTCATCGACAAAGAAAGGTAGCGAGGCCGAGTGTCACTTACAAGATGGATATCTTTCAGCTGGGCAACATCCTCTTCATGTTGCTCGTGGGGAAGCCGCCATTTGGAAAGAAGAAACGATGGGATGTACACAAACTCGTCACGGAACAACAGCAGCTCGTGGATGAGATCCCTGATATGATCCGATACAGCAGCGACGACTTTGCTCAAATGGCACTGGTGGAGATTATTGATTGGTGCCGTCAGGAGGATCCCGACAAACGACCAACCGCGCGACAAGTCGTCAAGTTTCTCAGGCACAAGATCGCAGTACGGGACAAGTATGACAGCGTGCAAACCATCAATCAACGAGCCAAGAGATTCCCGTCCGTGAAAGAACGGATAAAGGTCTACATGTCCAGTTGGTACGCTTGTCCCTGTGCTGACAAAAAGAAGCAGAAGACGAAGAAAAGCAATGGCATGTCTAGCCCAGCGTCTTCCTTTATCCAGTACCAGTACGTTCCCAGCAACAAGAAGGGAGGAGGAGGACAGGATGCCGTCTTGATCCAAGCACCACAAACAAGCCGGGATACCTTTTCCTATTCCTGGAATCGCATTGTTAGGCTAGAACCGGGAATACGGACGGATGATGCGATGATCATTGTACCAGCTGCGTTGGAGGGAAGCACGAACACGTCTTCTCATGCTGGATTCCGGAACGATATCGTCCAAACACTGCTACCCTTCATGGAGATGTTGCATGATAAACCTATCATTTCTCAATGGGGAGACAAGAAATCGTTGGTGATTTCGAGCTCGGAGGCGACCTTGGCTGACACAGACACCACTGCTACAAGAGAGAATAGACGACCTCTGATATCCCTTCCTCACCTGAAGAAGTGCCGCCGTGCATTGACCAAAGACGAGCGCAGACAAATCACAAACAGTGGGAGCTGTTACAGCAGCGCGGACCGTCCGCACTCTGATTTCCCAATAGTTTGGAAGCTAGATAGCAATCGACTCTTGGGTTGGGTACCCTTTGTGCACAGGAATGACAAACTCTGGACCGAGAAGCAATCCAAGGCGGTCTGGCGTGGACGACTGACTGGTCAAGCACTGTCGGAGAATAGGGCGGTGCTTAGGTCGGAAGTATCGGAAAAGGAGTACTGTCGAGCTCTCAAGCGCTGCAACTTTGTCCTGCAGCACCACAACTCAACGATGGTGGATGCCCGGCTCATCACGTTACAGAGCAAAAAGCTAAGCGAGAAAGTGGATGGAGTGCCCCTCCTTGGCGACAAAAAAAGTATGCGAGAGCTTTTGGATTACAAGGTCCTGATTGTAATGGAAGGCAATGACGTTGCTTCGGGTCTTGGTTGGTCATTGCGCTCCAACTCGGTTGTGATGATGCCACGTCCTACGTTTACATCTTGGTTGATGGAGGAGTTACTGGAGCCCTGGGTGCACTACATCCCTTTGAATGACAAGCTCGACGACGTGGAGGAGAAAATGGAATGGATAAGAGAAAACGATGCCGAGGCAGAGCAAATAGCTATTCGTGGAAGTCTGTGGATGGCAGATCTTCTGGAACATCCAAATGTGAAGTCGGACGACGAACGGATCTTTCGTGGCATTCTAGAACGCTACGAGAGGTTCTTCGTCCCTTCTTGGACACTGCAGAAGCAATATGATGCAAGCTCCTCCACCATAGGTAGCTGGGACTTCTCCTGGAATGATCCATAGTTCCTCCCATTTTACTCCATGCAACACATGTAGGACAGTAGTAGGACAGTACGACCGAAGGGTAGCCAGCTAGTCCCTCAAATCACCTGATCATCTTCTGACTTATCCGCTACGCTTGTGCTATTGGCCGTGGCGTTCTCTGGCCCCAGGAACACGGGTCTTCCCGCTTGCAGAGAAACTCCATTCAACAGTCGTCCTGCCAGTCGTCTGCCTTGCTCCTGTATCGAATCTGGCACGGACTGATGCTTTGCAATTAGAATGACAGCTCTTCTACAACACAACTACCGGTACCTATGCCGGAGTCAGCCACTTTTTGCTTGGAAGCAGCCCCCGACAATCAACCACCACCACTCGATCGCACCGTACCGGTACAGTACCGGTACCAGTACCTTTGCCGACGGTGGTTTCAGTTTGAAATTTAACGGCAATCATCAAACGACGAGCTCAATTTTGATCTTTTTGATGTTGAAACCTTTTTTGATTTGAGTTTGCTTTTTGTGTTGATTTTGAGTTGGTATCGCCGAAATGAAACAACTCCCTTTGCACGGACAAAGAAAACCAATTTCTCTAGCACAACAACAGCAACAACTTCTTCTGTCTTCTTCAAAGACATGCATGACGATGACAATGACGGTATTGAGAGTCCCACGTTCACGTACCTCGAGATGTTCTTCTTTGATGAACCCTCGGCGGACCGCTGTGTGGTTGAACGGATCCAGAGTCATCTTGCGGTGGTTCCAGTTGGGGTGGGCACATGACGATGACAATGATGGTATTGAGAGTCCCACGTTCACGTACCTCGAGATGTTCTTCTTTGATGAACCCTCGGCGGACCGCTGTGTGGTTGAACGGATCCAGAGTCATCTTGCGGTGGTTCCTTTGTGGGGATGGTTCGTGCTCGTGGCAGGTAACAGTCAGTTCTTCTGTTTGGCGGATCGCCGTTTTTCTCATCCTTCTTCTCTTTTGTTGCGCTTGCTCTCAGTCCCCACCACCGATATGCCCTGCTCTGCCAAGCTTAGCCCAGTCTAAACCCCCGTTGATATACCAGTATCGTTGTGCGGCCGTTGCCACGGTTTCCTCATTCCTCATCATCTGCATGCGTCATGCCGCCATCCCGGAGCTGCGCCGTTTGACTGATGATGGTCGCTCGTCACCAGTCGCTCCAGTCGAGTCTTTCCGGAGAACCGAGTCGATGATTGATTGAATCATTCGAATCGAACCGAACCTTCAATCGAATAAACAGTTCATGACTCGACTGAGTCACTCGACTAAGTCTTTCCCGAACGTTTCTGAAGTTGGAAGCCAGCAAACTTTAGTTTGCACCACATCACTTCAACTTTTGAGACGAGAGCAGAGCAGGACAATTTTGGGCTGTCATTGCATTGCATGGATCAATCAGTCTTCTCACAATTCTGAAAGGAAAGCCTATAGCTAGCTAGCTAGCTAGATAGAGTATTGGATTACCCACTCTGACAGTAGACCAAGCTTCTAAAGGAGAAGAGAATGCGGAATTCGGGACTATCTACCGGTGTGGTCGGTGGTCGGTGCCCCCCAGGTTGGAGAGCTGCAAGGGAGTTTTCTAGCCAGAAAGGATGGATGATATGAACTGTTTCTGCTTGGAGTTACCTTGTATTACGATTGAAATGATGATTGGTTTGAACTTTGCTTCCTCTAGTCCTCACAAAGGACACAATACGATGACAGCACATGGTCACAGAGGCTCCCTTTCTTGTACGCTTTCTTGCTCATCTGCTCTTCCGTCTTTTTGTTGTTGAAGTGTACCAAGAAACTGTGGTCTAGTTTGTGACGGATCTCTTTGTACCTTGGAGAATGATGCTCAAAGCAGACGGCATCCCAATCCTTGTAGCTGAAGGGTGCCACTGTGTCATTGGGGAACGGGGTCAGATAGCAAATCGTCCGGTGCTTCTGCTTCTTGCCCTTCTTCTTGGTGTTCATCTCGGGTTGGTCCTCGGAAAGGGGATTGAAAACGTAGTCATACTTGTCTTCGGGGCACACCCACTGGGGATGTTCCTGATACAAAACGAAAGAAGATGTCAGTAGCAAAAGACAATGCAATCAAAAAGGACGGAGGAACAATCTCTCGTACCTTTGCTGTTCTCCCGAAGGCTTTGGGCCCGTTGTTGCCCCACTTGCTTCCATCATAGTGTTCGATCATATTGTTGATTACAGCCGCGAGGAAACGGTTACCTGGCTGCGTAAACTTCATGGCAGCATTGTGATATTTGGATCCGTCACGGTGTCGACCCATGGCCTGATCGATGCGTGGGTCGGTGGCCAAGCGATCATTGATCAAGACCACGTCCGAGTCTAAATATATCCCTCCTTGCAAGTAGAGAATGCACAGCCTCACCAGATTAGCTTCGTTGGCATACCAATACTTTTCATGTCTGAGGGCTGGATCAATGCGGGAGCTGAACTCAGCCGCTGCATGTGGATCAATTTGACTCCCAGGAGCTTCAATGGTGCGTTGCAGAATGTCCTGAGGTCTGTAGAAATTCACTTGCAGATCATAGCCTCGTTCAACTAAGGCCTTCAGCTTGGGATGTTTCAGCCCCTCGAGAAGCCCTGTCTCGTTATTCGTATGGACGAGCAAGGTAACCGTAGGATGAAAGTAAAAGACGCTTTCAATGCAGCGCATGTTCATTATGCTCAGAGGATCCTTTACTCCATTGTTAGTTTTCGACATGACAATATGAAAGACCGGTAGCTCTTGTGGCAGTTTCTCTTTCGTGGTAATTGGAATCTTGGCGACGGCGGTATCCGAGAGCTTGTTGGATTCGAGATGGTGGGCGAAGAAACCGTCATTGGAGGCTCCAGAAGATTCGCGACTGCTGGAGGACTGCGAAGCTGCAACCTCTCTTCTGCAGCTGGATTGCATCTGCAATAGAGCGGAACGGGTAACCTGGAGGTCTTCGTGCATCAGGATGAGAACAACCATTACGAGACCTGTCGTCACAGGAAGATGATGCGCCAAAAAACGTTTCATTTCCTCCATTTCCACTGAAAAGACTTTGATCGCTTGGCCACGTTACTAAAGCTGTCTGCAATAACGGTGTCTGCGTTCAACAATAACGGTGTCTGCGTTCAAGAGCTGGCTGCGGTTGGCAACAGAACGGTGTGAGAGTTGACACGATGGTAAAATGTATGTGAGGATATGGTCGTCTTGACCATTTCGTGCCGATAGCCGTCACACGAATGAATTTGTTTGCCTCCACTTTCCCCGGAAGTTTCTGCTTCAGCCGGACCTTTTGCCTGCCAACAACTCATTTCTGCTGGGGCAGGACAGCGCACTGGCCGGATGAGCTCGTGAAACCCAGACCACGAGAGCACGGTATCGGTGTCGGCATCAGAGGTGGCTTTTGAGGTTTTGTTGGTTGCTCGGTTTGCCTTCCCAAAACCTTCAGGAGCTGTCTAGCTACGGGTAGTATCCTCGGCAAGAGGGCCTTGCTTCAAGCGAAGTACAATAGCCAGGGCAAGAGCGCCTCGCTTCAAGCTACTGCTTTGCACAGCCATCTTGCCTGAGCTAGGGCCACCTGGCAGAAAATGTACGGTGCCGAACGCAGCCCAATTTTCAAAACTACCTTCTACTTCTGTTAGCATCAGATGGCAAAGAGACGGTAGGCACATTGGAGAACCCTGCAGCAAGCAGGAGCCTTTCCATCGCTGGCTTCCGTAGATAGCTTCCCACTCTTAAACCCCCTTTCATTGCGGACAAGGTGACAATTTATGGAAGCATTATCGCTACAAGAGTGTCGAGACATAAGCGTGCGGGTTGGCGTGGTTAGAGGTTCTTTTCGTGAAGAATCCCAGAGTGCTTTTGGAGGAGTTGTGCAGCCTTGGCATGTGCCCCCCAAATGCGATACAGACTCAATGCTTCTTCCAGCAAGGGGGCTGCATCTACAGGCGATTGTTGGAGTAGCAGCATCTCACCACAACGCTCAGCAGCCAAGGCTGCATCTTGGACTAGTCCGCTTCGTGAGGAGATTGCTTTGGCTGAGTGATAGAGGGAAATAGCCATGTCAAACTTTCCTCTTAGAACAGCATCTTCGGCATCCAGGTGCTTCTCATATCCAATGACATTTGGGTTCCCAGCCTCTCTCCATTTCCTTATGGTAGCATGGACCTTTCTTGCGTGATGTTTGTACCTCCTACTCTTGGTCTCAATGGCCATGGCATAAAGTGAGACTCCTCGAGCAAAAGTCTCGGGCATGATCATGTGTATTGCTGGCAATGTCTTTCCAAATTGGTCACCCCTTTCAAGGGCAAGCTTTGCTCCAGCTTCATGGTCTCCAAAAATGGCGTAGAGCCGGCTTTTCATTGCTGATGCAGCCAGAGCAAGGTTCTCAATAGCTTCATCTCGCTCTACAAGCTCATCCAAAGTCATCCTTGCCTCAGTGTCACCCAACAGTGGCTCTGTTTGCTCTTCACAGCCAATCAGCCGCACAATGGCCAGCCAGTAGGGTGTACAGTGTCTGATCACGTGGACACGTATTTGGTTGGCGTATAATCGGCAGTCATTCTCGAGCTCGCTCAGTGGCCTTCCGGTCTGAAGCCCGCTTGTAATGTATGTAAAGACACAATAAGAAGCAAATTCAGCATCACCAATGCGGAGTCCAATCTCATAGCCCTTCATGAAATGAGGCCGGCAAGAGCTGAGTGGATCCAACCAGCTCCTCAAAAACTGGTAAACTGTAAAATTGTGTGTGAGGATGTGCTGCCATAATTTCTCTGCTCCAGCAAGTTCATTGCAAGACATCCCAGTTTCCCACCAAGCTGATAGTCATGCATTACCCCCGTGAAGACAACTCCAACTGCTGCCAGGTTTGGAGGCGCAAAGATTGATACGCCGTGCTTGAAGGTGAGCCTTGCAGAAGTGAGAATGGCAAGAGGCATGATCATGCCATACTTTGCTGAACCATAGCAGTAGTTGGTAAGTTCACGCAAAAGCTTCATTTTGCTAACATTTTGGGAGTCCATTTCTGGAAGCTGTGCCAAATCAGTGGAGGTGACTTCCTTGCACTGTTTCTTGACTTTCACTAGCAAAATGATGGTAGATAGAGCTCTTCCCACAGTTGTCTTGGGGAATTGGATCCCTTGCTGCTCTAAGACGGATAGTGCTAGGGCGATGCCATCATCCCGATCAGTTGTTGCACATAGAGATCTGATTTGAGAAGCATAGACTTCAAGTTTTGAAGCCAGAGGAATGTCATTTCTTGCTTTGACTTCTTGAAACCGTGCATTCACTGCTTCCCGAAGGCCAGCCATATATTCAGTCATAGCAGCAATTGTATAGAGGTCCAGTGTCAGGTCTTTGTTGGTCTCCCACTTCTTTTCTGGAAGCAAGTCAATACCTCTGGATGCATACTGCGCAGCGGTTGCAAATGCAGATACACGTGTTGCTTTCTGTGCTGCCTCCAAATTGATACTGGCAAAAAGGATAAACTCAGCCTCATCAGTAATTTTGGGGCCATCATGAAGCAGGTTTGCCACAATGAAAGTAATGGATTCCAATTCGACCCCAGAAAGGCTCTTCTGAAGTTGCCGACCCAGCTGGCCCTTCAATTTGCTCAACTTTTCCGGTGACAATAGGGCCAGAGCTCCTTCCCGGACAGAGTCATGAACCCATTGATAGGATAAGGCTGGAGATAATGGACTTGAAATCTGCTGTTCCAAAAACCCACAAGATTCAGAGAAGGACAACCAGTTATCAAGAGTCACGTCTTCATTGTCTTCACTGTCGTTGGACACTTTCATATCAGGAAGAGTAATGATAGATTCCTCTTCATCCTCCATTTCTTGCAAAACAGCATTGAGAATATGGGCCTGAAACGAGTTTCCAAAGCAGGCTGCCACGCATAGGCGTCGCTGAAGGATCAGAGGGAGCTTTGCCATCTCGTGACTCATGAGTTCAACAACGTTTGACATTGCAAATGTTTTGGAGAGAATTTGATCAATGTCCCAATGCCAGCAAACCTTGCCTAGATCAAACTTGAGAAACTTTTCATCAGAGAGTTGTCCGACAAAGCTGATTGCATGCAGTGGATTACCCAAAGTCCGTTTGTGGCACAATTCTGCCAGTGGCCGCGTGCTTTCATAATCAGGGTCATCCATATTGAGCAGTTCCAAGAGTAGGTCGTTGATAGAAGCAACATCCAGATTTGTCATTGCGAGGTATGTAGTATGCACATCATGAAACCTCTTCTTCTTTTCTACCTCTTGTATCAAATCAGAAAACTGGTGATTGTTGTCCAGTTCATTGGATCGGTAAAGGCAAATCAAAAGCATGTTGGAATTGTTCACATCTGTGATCAAGATTCAATCAACTGCACCGATGCAGAGTCAGACCAATGCATATCATCCAATACCACACAAAGAGGGTGAATCGTAGCATTTACAATCTGGAAGAGTGTCTGGAAGGCATACATGAATCGGGCCTTTTGTTGCTCATTACCAAGGAGGAGATTGTTCATCCTAGCCTCTTCTTCAGAGCTTGCACTGATACTGGATGCACTGATTGAAACTTCCGAGCTGTCTGGTGGTGATGTGGTGCTGCTGTCCACAATCAGGCCCAGTTCGGGGATCAACTCCTTCAGGATGCGACGGGATACAGCTTACAATTCAGCTTTACAGCTTTACAATTAGCAGGCTTATTCTAGAAAATAATCAATAACTGCTCACTTATTTGGAAATACAAAGTTTACATCTCTTAGATCGTTAGATTAATCAATCCACAATGGTATTGTCGCATGGTAGCATGCGAGGTTATGAGATGTTACTCATTCTTATTCTTATATGTCTATCCCTTATGGTTGTCAATGGAATGAGCTATCCCTTGATGCAGAGTCCTGAGTTTCCTCTCATTATCTTCATCGGTAGTCCTTCCCCTTATTGCAACTTAATTCCCTTGGATTCGCTCGCAAGCAATCCCCTTGCCAACATTGTTGTTGTTGATTCGCTCGTAAGCAATCGCAACCATGGACTCCTACAGGAGTCCACCTTTCATCCTGTCGTTGATCGAAATCGCGATGAGGACCTTATTTTAAACAATGGACTCCTATGGGAGTCCACCCTTTTCGATCACGATCAACCGAGCGCTAAAGAAGTCGCTACTAATACTGTTACAGCGACTACTAGCGTTACTGCTGCTGCTACTGCTGTTATCTCTATCACCGGCTGTATCTTCGGCAAAGCATTGCCTCATCCCATCAACGTCGATCGATCGATCAGGAGAGTTAACAGAATTTATCGAAAAATGGGCTCCGACTGGATATGGAAGCCTCGGCTTGTGTGTCATGCCTTGAGTCATGCTTTATTACCTACTATTATGGATTCGAATCGCCTGAGCTTAAGTCTTTTCTTGAGTCATGCTTCGGGTCCTCACTTTTTCATTAACTCGACGGAGACGCACACTGATGTACGTGATGTTGTTTCGAACGTATCCATCGCTATTCGAACGATCCATGCAGTTGGTCTTTGCTTACCTAGGACTGGCATTGGTCGTCTCTGGCTCGCGGTTGGTCGTTTGGATTGGCTTATTGCAGTTGGTCGTTTGAACGAACAGTTTCGTCACGAGCGATCGCTCGCTCCGTACGATCCCTCGAGTGGTTTGAATTCAAACGAAGGGGATTCGCTCACGAAGGATTCGCTCTCAGACCAAAACAAAGCTCACAAATCCCATCTTCGATTGACTCGATTGATTGGATATCCACTGCTCTCCTCCTCCTGTTGCCATTGCTCTTGTTGCCATTGCCGCACTGTTGACCTTGTTGATTTTCACTGCCTCCAATTCCATCATCTATTATTGATGGACCTTGACGACGCTTCCTCTGCCTCAGCATCTTCATCTTCAACAGCAGCGCCAGCATCAGCATCCTTGTTCAGTCCACAAAGGCTTCAGACAAGCCTTCTTTGAATCTGATCCAATCATCCCACCATCTATCCTCCAACCATGACTGACACCATTGACCGCAGTTCATTCCAGGAGCTCCTCCAGCACATTGGGAAAACCAAAAGAAGAGACCAAGCTTACAGAAGCCCCCGGCTTGGAGGTATCAAACCACACTGGAGCCTGGACAGGATCTGGCTCAGATGGACTGGGAAAGGACCCAAAGCACCCTATGCCTCAGGGTTCCAGGTGACGACCATCTGAAACATCACACCACACTCCAGCTATCGAATTGGCATGCAAGAAAGGACTGAGGATTCCACCAGTCTACTATTTTCCCTCTGACTGAGTCCAATGCTTCTGGGTCTCATGTGCTAGCCTCTCTATCGCCTTTGAAAGTATGATGACAGAGCTGGAATGGAAGGGGTCTTCAGCTTGTTGTTGGAGAACTAATACTAACACTATTAATAAAATCAACATGTTCACTGCTCCTGGCAGGTTCAGAGTCTATGATGGAAAAATGGCATCAGGACCTCAAGTCAATGGGTCAGACTCATCGATGCCAATGGGATCTGCAGCAACATCCTGTTTGCGCAGTATGATCTAACCAACCTTGCCTGGGGGAAAGGCTGTCTTGAATCTTGCACTGATGCACTCCGGGAAGAATTGAATCATATGTTCTCGAGCCAAACACAATGGCCCCCAACTTCTCTTGGCTCTTCTGCAGAAAATATACAACCTTCTCAGAAGATTGAAACCCTCAAAGCAAAACTACTTCACTTGGACACACCAAGTTCCCTGGTGAAATGTTTCCATGTATGTTGTCGATGCAACAAGATCATCAAAGGATTCGATTAAACTTTATGTCCAATCCCATGCCTGAACTAACCAGCACATCCCTGAGGTCTCCTTGGCTGTGGTTGTCCATACTTTCGATCCAAAGTCCATGAGCTTGTGTCAAGAGTGACATCAACGGATTTGATAGCAACTAGGGAACAAACAATTGGAAGCACTCGACACTTGAATGACTTGGATGCCCTCTATCGGGTCCTCATCAACCAGAAAACTTATGGCCTGCCCAACATCTTGGATCCAAGGGATCCCAAGGCCAAAGCCTTCCAGGCAGCAATTGACAAAGCAGTTGAGGCAAAAGTTTGGAGTCTCACCAGGATCGAAAACGTGGGTCAGCCAGTGGCGGTACTCGTCCTCGTGGAGGCGCCTGCTTTGATTGGTGAGCTACTGATCATCATAGAACGATCCAGCATGTCCAGAGCGAGGTGCTCCCAAGGACAACGGTCTGAGTGCTGAAACAACTCCAAACTCACAATCTTATTAAAGACAAGCTTGCTCCATGCCTCCAAGGGAGAAAATTCCCGATGATGCCCAACACACTATTTCTGTTGATGGGAAGTGTTTGCTAAATACTGTCGCATCTGTGGAAGGTTCTCCAAAGGCACCAGTGCTCATTTTACCAGGAACATCGTGGGCATTCCGCAAAGTTTCACATCAACAGCACCTCGTCTAGGTCGGCAATGTACTACCACCACCAGCTGTCCACTTCTGACTCCATATAACTGACTGTGGCAACCTTGCTTTTCCACATGGGATTACGCTATTGTCCGCTGCTGATGTCCGCTGTTCTAGCCACTGATGAGTTTGTACACTCCAGTCCCATTGTGGGTATGATTTGATTACCATGCAGGTCAAACTGGCAGCAGTAGATCCATTCTGATGAGACTCCGCTCTCTCCAGCTACCTCAAGGGGCTTTATGTGAATGCTTCGCCGAACATACAACTTAACTATGGCAGACCAGTGCTTTTTCTCATATCGCTATTCTTTTGCACCCATTTTAGCCCTTCTATCTCGGGTCTATTCCCTTTTATTTATGGAAAGGAGAAGAATTGAGTCATGCTATGCAGAATGTATCAAATACACTTCGATAATTACCAGCCCTGATTCTAGGAGGAGCAAACCTTTCTTCAGTCTCACGCTAAAAATGGCTGATGTTGTCTCAATGTCCCATATCTTTCCCACCATATCCTCATTGGACTATTTCTCCGGGTGCGGATGTGTGTTTGTCTCTTCTTTGGTTTTACAACTTGCTTCTAAAGATTCAAAGGTTATACCCATTCATCAGTGCTACTCTTGACATTCTCACCAACTTATTACATTCACACGCTTCAATCGGCCAAAACATTTGACGAATCCAAGACCCAGACCTAACTTGTCAATTCCCAGATTGATTCTTCGGACCTGTTACACCGATGTCTCTTCTTTAGCATAAATTAACTCTTAGGACACACTATGTCGTCTCTTCTCAACCCCAACTCCAACCAGGCTTCGTCGCAAATGTCGGGCCTAACAAACCCTTGTCGATACAAGCTGATTTGGGCCTCTTGGAGATTCAATTGGGACTCAGATCGCTTGGGACACAATCAATTCAAGCTCCTCCAGTGATCTTGCCTTTAGAAAAAACTTCGAAGCTATCGATCATGATGCAGGAGGAGAACTGAGACACAAGTCTCACGAACGGGGGCAGGCACACAATCAATGATTGCTCTCCAACAACACGCATCATCTATCGAATGAATCCTTTGCCCAAGTCACTACTCTATGCCCATATGTCTTCAGTGCTAATTGTTGATAGGATGTTCCTTTCTTGACACCAATACTTTCAGTGATGTTTGACCCAATTTCTAATCAAAAGCTTTCCTAACACAATTATACTAGGAGGTTTCGCTGGAGGTCTGAGCAATGAGTACATCGGCACTACTGATTGGGAGACTTTGGATGAGCAAGCAAATGTGGTGTCATTTCGGGAGCAGGTTCTATTCATCCTGATCTTCCAAACAGACTCCTAAGGCCTCAAGCTTTCTTGTCCCATCAAGGACTAGACCCAAAAACATGCAAACTAAGCGATCACTTCAGATGCTACCACGACCATGCTGAATGGCGTACGGGAGGAAAGAAAATTCTACAAATGAATTTTGACTCAAGTTTTCTACAACGACTTACTCTGTTCCCAAAGGGAAAGGCATTCTCTTCTCTACAAGCAATGACTTCTGTTCTACATACCAACAACGGAAACCTTTCTATTTTTGACAAATCTGGCTGCAATGGCATTACAAGTTGGGACATCTGTACTTATCCCATGTCCAGTCTCTTGGTTTGGGTGGTTTCTTAGATAAAAGAGGTCTTGGTTTGGTTAGAAGCAAGGTCGGTGAGCATCATAAATGTGACGCTTGTCAATTTGGAAAACAAGTCAGGCATCATGATCACACCACTGTCACCAAGAAGCTCCCAACCAAACAGGGAGCGCTCAAAAAAGAACAATTGGAGCCGGGCAATGACAAACCTTAGTGAATCAAATTGGAGTCAAGAGTCATAGGGAGATTGTTGCATACGGCCGGAAGGGAACAAGATAACAATAAATTCTGTGGAACCTTCAATATTTTGTGATGCTGTATCGGCTGCCATCTTTGCACACCACCAAGTTACATTGAAAGCTTCTGATTCTATCATGGCCAAGGAAGCATAAGAACGATGGTGTCTCGAAACATGGGGTTGTGGTTCAATCATATCCAACTGACAATGGCATCTACAAAAGCCAAGCATATGTCAACATCTTAGGAGACCACCATCATCAATTAAATATTCTGAGACCGGCGCCAAATGGCAGAATGGGTTTTCTGAGGGAGCCATTAAAATTGTAGTAACCAAAGCTAGAACAATGATGATCCATGCTCCACTTCTATGGCCGGAAGATGATGATGATGATGAAATCTCTGTGGCCATTGGCAGTCTCTCATGCCACTCACCTTTACAACCACAATCCAAATCCAGTCACTGGCATTGCTACCATTGAGATATTTTCCAGAAATGTAAGTGATGGTCAAGTCATCAGAAATTCCCATCCATGGGGATGCCCTGCATATGTTTTGGAACCGCGGCTTACCAGTGAAGGAGGAGAGATTCCAAAATGGCAGCCAGGTCCAGGAGAGGACATTACGTTGGCACCTCACCTATCCATTCAGAAAATATTGATTTGATCCGCAAACCTTACAACCGGATTCCTTTCTCTTCAGTACCATCTTGTCTATAATGATTGGTTTGAAACAGTTACTCTTCAGAAGATCAACCACCTCTAGAGTGGACCAACATGTGCATCTTCCAACGCTTCGAGACCTTATTTGATGAGGACACCCCACCTCCCTTAGCAGACGAGTGGCTTACTCCAGGGGAAAAGGCCATCAAACAGCACCGATCTCATCTTAAGAAGCTTCGACAAGGGAGAAAATGATGGCAGGATTAGAAGAGCAAAGATAAAAGGGATGTTCTTCATTTTCAAGCTCCGTCTCCAGCACAGCCCCAGGTTGCACACAGGGAGATTCCAGATTCGTCTGCCACCACCCGTCAGACTCAAAGAATGTTACCCTCTTCTTGGGACAGGGAGGCCTTCACCACCATCAGCAACTCCACCACTGATGTCTCACATCGAGCCAATCTCTGCCCCTGGTCGTAATCCCAGTAGAACAGCCCACAGCAAGCAAGAAGCCTGAGACTCTGAACATGGACCAAAGTTGAGACATATGCGCTCCCTTCAATAACCTGTTTTGAGCTGTGCTTATAGCTTTTGACCTTTGAGTTACTCCAATTCTGGCACATGAATGCAATCTCAGGTGGAATGGTTATTCAGCCTTTGAACCAACACCCAGGAAACATTTCATCCTGGCATTCATCAAAGCCCACTGGCTCTCAAGGCCAAAATTCTCCAAAGACCCTGGATCTCGCTCCCTCCTTTTGAAGGAATCTCTGATGGGGACACATGCAGACCATTTCTGGGCAGCAATGGACAAAGAAATTGCGCCTTGAAGGCAAAGGGAATTGGCAACATCGTACAACTTGTCCTTCTATGCCCTCACACCTAAAGGTCGGTTCCCTGAACGTGGGTGCTAACGAATTAAGAGGTTACCAGACCGGAAATTAAATAAGTTCAAATCTAGATGGTGCTGCAGAGGAGACCTTCAGTCCTATGAAGGCGTCGCGTACTCTCCACTTGTTGGTTGGCCCACCGTTAGAGCCGGTCTTCTTCTTGCAGCTGCACATGGATGGGAATCGAGACAAGTTAGTTAACCTTGCTTTCTGTCAAGCCCTCAGCCTTCGACCAGCCACTGACATGGAATTGCCTCAGTACTATCGACCCAAAGGTTATGAAGGACAGGACTGTGTTTTGAACATTGACAAGTCCATCTATGGGAGACCGATTCAACCTAAATTATTTTATGAGCATCTATGTCGCGGGATGATCCAACTTGGTTTCGAAAACCTCGGCAGCAGACCCATGTTTGTTTATTCATAAGAAGCATCAACTCATGGTATTAAATTATTGTGATGACCAAATCTGGCTCAGTCCAGACATGATCTGATTGAGTCCTATGTTGGGCAGTTCCAGAAACTTGGATATGACTTCACCATGGAAGAAAAAGGTGAACATCTTTGGATTCCTCGGCATTATTTTTGAAAGACAGGGAGACAATGTTGAGCTCACTCAAAAAGGGCTCATATTAAAGTCATCGAATATACTGTATGTCTGACGCTAGCAAAAGCTTTCCCTGCCGCCACCGATCCTCTCGGAGCTGACAAACTGGGGGCCCCATTTGAAGAAGAGTGGAGCTATCCAGCTGCAGTTGGGATGCTCTTTATATTGCGTCGAACATCGCCCAGACATCACTTTTAGTGTGCACCAGGTGGCCGATTCAGTCACAATCCCAGGCATTCCCATGCTCAGCAATCAAACGTATCATTCGGTATCTGATTGGCACAAGTGACAAGGCATTTGTTTTAGCCTAAACTTGATCAGGGACTTGATTGTTGGGTCGTTGCTGACTTCGCCGGATTTATGGATATGAGGATGATCAGATCCTGTGTCCGTCAAGTCTCGCGCACTGGATTTGTCTGACTTTGTTTGGGTGCCCTATCTGGTCCAGCAAGCTAACGACTGACATTACTTTGAGATCCACTGCTGCGAGTATTTTGCTTCAGCATGTCAATGAGGGAGCTGCTTCCTATCGAGCTTTGCTCAAAGAAATTGGTAGCAAACTGAATATGCCGGTAATTACTGACAGTCTCGTGCGCTCTACAGTGTTCGAAGACAACCAAGGTTGCTTGTCTCTTGTGAATGTTCCCAAATGTCTGCGCGCAAACAAGTATTTGGCATTGAAGTACCACTTCTTCAGGTCCAATATCGGGAGTCAAGGGCATCGTGGCAAGAATATTCCGACTCTGGAACAACGGGCCGACATTTTCACTAAGGGTCTTCCGGCTCCACAGTTTGCTGTCATTCGAAGCTCCTCATGGGATGGTAATTTACCTCAGCACTTTGCTGGGGACTCTCTCTATCGTTTCTTGCTCCAGCTTCATTTCAGCTGTAAGGGAGTGCGACGGGATACAGCTTACAATTCAGCTTTACAGCTTTACAATTAGCAGGCTTATTCTAGAAAATAATCAATAACTGCTACATGCTCACTTATTTGGAAATACAAAGTTTACATCTCTTAGATCGTTAGATTAATCAATCCACAATGGTATTGTCGCACAGGATATTTATCTCATTTACCGATCCAAGCTTGTCACTGATTTGCTGTTTCACTTTGTCAAAATTCTTCTTGCCTTTATCTGATCCTGTGCTCCCTTGGTTGATTACTTTGAGGATTTGTGAGCAAGCGTCGGCGAGGCTCGATAGGGAACACCTGCCTGATCCTCTGGGTTAAACTTTCCGGAAACAAATGCCCCATTTGTCTTTAGGTTTATTTTCTTCCTGAGACAAGCTGTCAAGGCAGTCTTTCCACTTCCACTTTCGCCACTGACCAGCACCGGCTCTCTTGAACCCTTGTAGACTCGATCAAGTGCGTCAAAGAGAACCTGCTGCTCTTCGACTCTTCCAACCAACCCCAATCTGTCGAACCGAAGATTGCTAGACAGAAAAGAATTGTATTTGCTTTGGCTATCAAGTGTTCTTGAGTTTCTCAGAGGAGTGGCCTTCACAATTGAGGAGTCCGCTACTAGTTCAACGCTTCCGTCCAAGGAGAGAATGGATCTTCTTCTGACAGCTCCTTTGGGTTCCGATGAACCAGAGACCGTGAACAGAGCTGAAGAGCTCTCATTGAAACAGGATTTTCTCGATCCTCCACATGCACCCAGGGAAAACTGGGAATCCATGCTCTTCGAGTCAGACCGGAAAGATCGAGAGGATGTTCTCTCGCTGTTCATGACGGTCGAGGACCGTCCAGTGACCCCTGTACCCGACGACCTGTCCATACACTCCTGAGTGCTCTTACGGGTAGGACCCCTGCTAGATTCAGATGACCTCTTCAAGAACTTCATGGTGCTGATTGGATCAATTGTTATCATGCACTGCTGCTATCTATCCGATATCATATCTGTGGCAACGCTTGATCTATCATGTATGCAGCGACAAGTGACAAGTGTGGGTGGAGGGTGAAGGAAAAAATTACATGTAGTCATTATGACCATCGAATGCATGGATGATGGTGTCAATGAGTCAGAGTGAATGATTCTATTTTTGTGTCTGAGTGAATGTCTGTGTTCTTTCGTACTTGAAGCATTAAATCTTCAAAAACTCTACCCTCCTCCCAGGCTTCCAACCCCAGTTTCACTCATCCCTCATCCCCACTCCGTCGTTGACCCGCCATAGACTATTGTTCCATCACAGGATCAGGCGACCGCAGCGAGACGCCGCTGGGCCCCAATCATTTAGTCAGTTCTTTATTGCTATTTACTATTTGTGCAAGAGTCTGGAGAGAAGCACAATATCTGGATCATCCTTTGAAAGCATTGGAGGCAGATTGGGTTGTTTCGTCGAGATCTCTTTCATCATCCCTGTATACCAATAATTCAAATGATTAGAAGAGCATAGATCAGTCAGCTTTAAACTCTTGCTTCATCCAGCGCGTCCGGAACTCTTCAGCTGAAGAGTTGGATGTTGAAAGCCAACGATTATTGAGATATCATGTCTGGCTGCAAGAACGCCCGGGTCATCTGTACCGCAGTGGTGCAAGCCAGGCCGTACCTGCAAGGAGGTAAGCTCGAGTGACAGTCGGCAACAGTTGATTGCCTTTGCTTACTGACTCCCACCTCGCCAGCCTGAAGCCCATGCTTTCCTCCTACGGTTGCTTGTACATGTCGTACTACAGTAGCCGTCAACCATGTACTGCTGTATCTTAGATTGCCCACTTGGTCATACCAAAAGTTTCTTCTGTAGTCCTGGAAAACTGCCCCAACATGCCCCGCCACCATGGCTGCATGCTCAAGGCTCTATGGGTTCCTGTATGATAGATGTCTTTGGGAAACACACGTTCGTTTGGCTCAAGGGACCGGTACGCATATATGTACCGGTGGCATACTCGGAAAGCTATTGCATAAGCCCGAGTTTTCTATCGGTCTTATTTTTATTAAAAAAGGAGCTCTCATTGTTTCTGTTTAATTTTAAAAACTACTGTACGGTCCTCTTCGCCGAGTCACAATAATAATCGTGTCCGATGGAAAGCTAAATTCGGAACAGTTACTGCCACTGTACATTACACTGTGGGCACAAAGTACTAGTATCCTGGTGTTCTGCCAGTTCATAAAATTAACGAAACCACGAACCATAATTAAAACGGAAAACTGCCTCAATTGTATGTATTGTCACATACTTATTGATATCATGACTGCGAAAATAGACGGTTTATCGAGACTGGCATTGTGTGACTCATGTTCTAAATAGAACTAGCCACTAGTGACTTGAACAATGTCTGGCAGTCTTTTTTATACCGGTGAAATCTGTATCGCGTTGGTTCTCACAATTTCCGCGCTGCAACAAGAGAAAGAAAGCTCTTCTAAAGAGACAACACTACTTTTAGCCCTCGCTTTTCTAGACTGCATTGTTAGTAAGAACCATGTTGGCTCTAGCACCCAGCTGTAAGGATACCCCTCGGGTGGTTGTCCCACCAGCTCCCCAGCAGAGAGCGCCCATGCCAGCGGATCTTCCTTTGCCAATGAGTGGAGGAATGAGCCAGAGCGAGCACCATCAGTCTCGTCGTGACGCTCGTCGTATGGGTCGACGAACGTCCTTGTGTACCTCGGAACGACGCGGTTCCAGTAGACGATTGCTCTCGATAGCGGCAGCTTCTAGTGAAGAAGAGTCAGAATTCCAGACCAACAGGAGCAACAGCAACGGCAGACGCAAATTGAAGGAAAAGAAGCAACGGTCCAGTCGCAATCTATTGCAGCAACAGTCACAACAGGCACAACAACAGGCACCCACCATTCAACCCCAACCCCAGCGGTCAGCCAGCAGTCGACGCTTGAACAAACGGACTCCCTCTGCGACGAATCTATCCTCTCTGAGTCAAAGCAACCGGAGGACGCCCTCGAGTCGCAATCTCATGGTGGACGCGTCCAATCGAACGTCCAAGTCAGCCGCCAGTGGTAAGAGCGGTGCCAGTGGTAAGAGCGGTGGCAGTAGTGCCCCCAAAAAGACACGCAGCAAAGTGCCCTTGGCCAAAAGAGGCAAGAGTCACAGTGATGTCTCCGCGGCAACGCTCTCCAAAAAGAAAAGCAGCAGCAACAACCTGGCCCAGAGTGAACATCTTCCTCGGTCCAAGCCGTCCCCGTCGCTCACCAAAAAGATCAAAGACAAGCCTACAACGAAGAAAACCAGACCCGTGTTGACCAGGAGCAACAGTTTAGACAGTAAGCTTAGTGAGATTGAAGTCGACATTGAAGTCGACAAGAAGAACACGGATGCTAAGGTCAAACCAGCGTCACTCTTGACTGTCACTCGAACTTCGTCCAAGAAAAGCAAGAAACGAGCTTCTACGACAGGCGTCAGGAGGCAAAAGAGCAAGAGTACCAAAGAAAAGATCAGTAGCAGCAGCAACCATGGTGATAGCCAACGACCAACCCTTCAACGAAGCAACAGTCTGGACAGTAAACTGAGTCGTCAAAACGAAGAAGAAGACAAGCCAAAGGACAACCCAAGACTTTCGTTGACATCAAACAAAAGGGCATCGTCCAGGCGTATGATCGACAATAGCCACAGCAACAAGCCCCAACGAAAGAGATCCGAGTCGCTCGTTCGCAAGAATAGCACTCAGAGACTCCAGCAAAAGCAACAAACCGACACCAATGTGAGCAACGACAAACCTCTAAAGTCACAACGAAACAGATCCGAGTCGCTTACTCGCAAGGCAAGTCTGAGGTTACCCAAACAGCCACAACAACAAGATTCTCCCCCTCAAGACGGCACAAGCGAAAAGCCTCAGGAGTCGGACCAAAAACGACCGGCGTCTCTGACTCGCAAGGCAAGTCTCAGGTTACCCAAACAGCCACAGTCACAACCGGCGGAACCATCAGATGACAACGACAACAAGGCCAGCCACACACGGCGAACACTCCTGGTCCGAAGCAACAGTTTGGACAGCAAGCTCAGCAACCTGGACGATAGCAAAAACAACAATCACAACGACAATGACACGGCTACCAAGGCCGTGACCTTTTCCAAACCAAAAGCCACGACGACAAAACCCAACAACATTAGCAGCAGCAGTGCTCACGACAAGCGACCCACACGACCCCAGCGCAAAAAGTCCTCTGCAAACCGATTGTCACTCGTCGACTTGTCGTCCAAACGACCTGTGCTCGTGCGAAGCAACAGTCTAGACAGCAAGCTTTCCAGCTTGGCAGGAGGAGAAGACAATGATTACAGCAGCCGAACCGAAAAGACGGCCAATACATCCTCCACCAAGAAAGTGGTGGAACCACCACCACCGGCGCGCCCTTCTCTCGGGCCCAAACGACCGAGCAAACGAACCTTGGCGAATTGCCGACGATCGTCTCGACGACGCATCCTGCAAGCGGCACAAGAAGCACAAGGAGATGACGACCAGGAGGCGGAAGCTAATGAGAGTGCCGAGGAACCATCAGCACAAGCTGCAGATCCATTGGCAGGTTCTCTCCAATCCAATTCGATGGTCGGCGCACCCATCGAGCACGCGGCGTCGGTCGTACGACGGTCACGAGGACGCAGCAGTCGCAGGCTCCTGGGAGACCATCTTGCCGCCAGCAATGATCCCACGGCCATTGTAACGAATGGATACTTTCTTCGCCGCAGCAACAGCGTCGACAGTCGACGCATGCCGCCCCAAGTTGACGATGACGACAAGAAAGAAGAAGATGATGTGAAGAAAGAAGACGATGCCGACAAACAAGAACGAGAACGAAGTATGTCTCGCAGTCGGAGTGCACGACGTGTCTCCATGTTGGTCCACAAGACGGCGGATCATGCTTTGAAGATGCACTTTGAACGCGCGGCTGCTGTGGAAGAAGCCAAGACCATGAAGAAGGAAAAGATCTCCAACCTTCAAAAGAAGTTTCAGACACTGGCCCGAGAGCAGTCCAAGTTCGCGGATACCATCATGGCCAAGATGGCGCTGTTGAGTCGGGTGCCCCTTGCCAGCAACAACAACACTGGAGCTGTCGCGGCAGCTGTCGCGCCGCCGACAACCAAGGAGGATGCTGCGGGATTGGCAGCCAGCGCCAGCGTCCCATCACTTTGGCGCATTGGCAATGCTACCAGACCAGCAGCACCCACAACAGCCACCAAGCCACCACCCAAGGCCGATGGCCGCCCCTTGGCTGCATTGAAGCGATCAACGTCCATCACGGACATGGCCAAACGAATGAAAGATCTAGGGGCCAACTTTCGAATGTCCAAAAAGCAAATGGAGGACGAGTCAGAGGCCACCAACAACAGCTACGCCAATAATGGAGAGCAGCGCCCCACGAGAAGAACGTCCTTGGAGCACTTGACGAGTGAGATTCCACTCTTGATGACAATGCCAACGATGACGACATCGGCGTAATAATCAAGTGTGTTTCCGTAGTTTGGTATAAGAAGCTAGCTAAAACGACTATTGGATTCGATTCAGCGTGCATTGCTTCACAGTTACAATCAATGGCTGCTCTAGCTAGCCACTGTTAGATCAAATTCCAGCTGTATCTGTCCCCACAGAGAGATGGTGCCGCTTGTTTGACATCTCACTACTCTCAATCTATGTCAGTGGGAGCTGCGATACCGGGGCAGCAAGACAGATAGAAGAAGGTGGATCATGTTTGAGATTGCACCCTTCGTTCCAGCTAGCCCTGGGGACAAACACCCGACTTGGTGGTGTGTTGCCGCATGCTAATCCTTAATTTTACAGCTGTCATCTTTGTAGGTACTATTGTCATATTTGCCAACTTACTGCAAACTGCTAGCTAGCTAGCTAGCCAGCTGGCTCGTTTGCGCAGTGGTGTTTGGTGAAGTCCGAGACCCCCCCTATTCGCGCCACATGGATCCATTAGGCTACCGGTATGTATGCGTTTGCCCCGGCATGACAAGGTCCGGAATTCGGCCGATTGCAGTTGTTTTACATGTACGGAAATGAGACTTCCACAAATAACGCGTACAGTCATACCTGCTACGGAAATAGCACGACGGAAGTTTCCGTACAGACCGAATTACAGTCGTACTGTATCAATACTTCACCTTTTTATTGTTGCTTTAATTAAGACTTGAGACTCCAGAGCCAGAGTGCGGTACTGGAAGCTTAATTAATTATCGAGTGGTGTCTTCTTTGTCGGGAAGCTCTGTCGATTACGGTACTAAGCAGAGGGCAATTGTGCTTTATTTCTCGCTCGAATAAAAGGAAGCAAAAATTGTACTAGTAATTGATACTGAGTACTCCAGTAGAGTGTACTTGTACTAATGTATCTACCGTACTACGACTTCAAGTATCATTTATGAACTCGAGCACCGTATTATTTAACGCGGGCTTAAAATCAATAACAAACGCAACGAACCAGACTCAAAAGAGTCGAGTGGATCGATGGTCCATCCGGAATGGATTAGCTGGTGCCGGTACTGTACCGGTGAATGCAGTTTCTACCGGTACTGGTACCAGCGGTACCATCTCAAGCCAAGCATTCGTACCATACGAGCCAGCTGTGCTACTAGTACTAGAGCTGCTACCGGTACCACTGGTATTAATAGTACATTGTTGCACCAAACCCTTCGATGCCAGTTCGCCATGATGAGACTCTGACTCGACTCGAGCCTGACATCACGCTGGGGTGCCTTACATGTAATTATCGGAACCAACCATCACATACGCTGTGGTTCGGTCGATCCAAAATTTTCATTTCCAGCAGCCAGCAAGGTCCCGAAACCCCAATGATGTTTTGAAATTTTTCAAACAGTTTTAGTTTCGCATTTTTAGTTTTAGTTTCTCATTTTTAGTTTCTCAATTTGAGAAACTAACAGTTTTAGTTTCTCATTTGATAAAATAGTTTCTCATTTCTGGCAGAATTCACAACACATGTACTAGCAGTTTCATATATAGTTTCTCATTTCAAAAGATAGTTTCTCATTTCAACCAAATGAGAAACTAACTTTCTCATTTCAGAACTTAGTTTCTCAAATGAGAAACTACTTTCTCATTTGAGAAACTGTCAAAAAAGGATTGCAGTCTGGTTCCCCACCTTGCAGGGCCAAAAGAAAGAAATTGAACAAAGCAATTAGTCTAATCAAGATATCAAGATGCCAGCGCACGATGACGAAAGCAGCCAGGAAGACGGAGAGGAGAACTTGCTCGATGTCATTGCCAAAATGCAGGCAATGGAAGCTGGTGGTAATGGTACTGTCGATGATTCTACTACTAATGGTATCACTGTTGGTCTCGACCCTCAAGCTGAAAAGGCTGCGGCCAGGAACAGTGTCGGTGCGGCTCTTTCCACAGGTGAAGATCCTACAACTAACGGTATCGCTGTTGGACTGAACCCCCAAACTGAAAAAGCTGCGGCCAGGAACAGTGTTGGTGCCGCTATTTCCACGGGTGAAGCCCTGCCAAGGGCGGAAAGTTCTAAAGGCGACAAGGTACCGGCTGCGCTGTCTATGGCTGGCGATACTATAGCAGTAGGGGTGCTCAACGTAGAGGATGGCTGCCCTAAAGATGAAGGACAGAAGGGCGGAAAGTCAAGCAACGCCATTCCTAGTGCTCCCACAGAGCAGGACGGCCGACCTTTGGAGAATGGTAGAGAGAACGTTGGACCTGCCCCAGTACCCTTGCGTCGAGGAACCAACCATCCAACTTCCAGACCTGGAGCTGTCGCGGTTGGCGGCACTGGTATCTCTGCTGCTGCTCCTGCTGCTCCGCCCGAGGCAGCCCAAGGTAATTTCCACCAGCAAGCGCAAACAGTGACCAATGATGGTATCGCACGAGCACGCCTTGTTAACACAGATGAGGAGGAAAACAGGCAAAACGCTGATCCTGTGCGGGAAGGGGATCTCCGAATGTCAATTGGGAATTCCAAAACAGATGGAAGAGAAGCATTCAAAGCCATCTTTTTGATTTCCATTGTTGGATTTATTGTTCTTGGCCTTGTTCTGGGACTTACAGGAGAGAAAGACGAAGAAACAGTAGCCCCAACAAGTCTTCCCACTTCCGCACCATCACTTGCTCCTACAGCCTATTCGGACACCTTGGATCTCCCTGACTACACACAGGAAGCAATCTTGGATGATTCCAACTCCTCTCAGGCCAGAGCATACTCCTGGCTGATGGAGGATCCAAATTTAGAGAGCTACCCTGACTGGAGAGTCCTCCAAAGGTTTGCTTTGGCAACTTTCTACTATTCCACGGGAGGGACAGACTGGACAATCAATGACAATTGGCTGAATCATAGCCAGGATGAATGCAAGGATTGGGCTTTTCGGACTGACACAGATGGTTTTGATCCAACAACCAGGGATGACAAGATCATAGTGAACTCTCCATGTGATGCAAATGGACGATATCAGTATCTGCTGATGTCTGGAAACAATTTGGCTGGTTCTGTTCCACAAGAGGTTGGCCTGTTGTCAAGCTTGCTCATCTTTGAGTTCTCCAAAAATGACCTAGGAGGCAGTACTCTACCTTCTGAGATTGGCTTGCTAACCAATCTTTTGAGAATGACGGGTAAGTGAAATGGCTACCATGCCTCGCGAAGGAGTCAGCTTTGGGCCTTGATTACTCACAAATATTGGAAACCATCTGTGTACTGGCAGCTGATAGAAGCTACCTTGATGGGACTGTTCCGACAGAGATTGGACTAATGACCGGCTTGATTGAACTTTTCCTGGGCTACAACCCTTTTCCCTCCCCTATCCCTTCCGAAATTGCCAACATTCGGGGACTCAAGAAGATCAACCTGAACAGAGCAGGATTCACTGGGACGTTTCCTCCTGAGCTCTACACACTGACCGACATGCAGGTATTTAATGTTCATGGTCTACTTGGAATTACAGAAGCCAGCTTGAAGGGCATCGAGCAAATGACAGACTTGATCGGTTTCTCCTGCCACAACTTCCCTCTTAATGGCACTGCAATGCCTACAGAACTGGGATTGCTTACTAAGCTCATGCACCTCAATCTTTGGGATACAGGATTCACAGGGACGGTCCCTTCAGAGCTGCTTCATTTGACTGTGTTGGAGCGACTGGATATTGATGACAACAAATTGACAGGAACCTTCCCTGGGTTTCTGTTGGAGCTTACAACTCTGGAAATGATCCTGTACAATGGAAACTTCTTCACGGGTACCATTCCAGCTGTTGCCTGGGAAAACATGACCAAATTAGATTATCTGTTCTTGAGCAACAATCTGCTGAGCGGCACTATCCCCACAGAATTTGGGTTGCTAGAAAGTGCAAGGTACTTGCTCATGGAACACAATCTCTTCTCAGGAACATTACCAACGGAGATTGGGAATCTAACCGCTCTCAAGGAGCTGTGGGTCCATGGGACAGACATTACAGGCACAGTTCCAACAGAGTATGAGGAGATTCCAGAGCTTGAACTTATTACGTTGTCCAATACCTTGCTCACTGGCTCCATTCCCAATGGCATCTGTGACAGCTTGATGGAAGTGACCTGGGGTTGCGAGACCAGATTCGGTGTGACCCTCCCATTATGCTACGATTTTCAAGAAAGGACAGACTTTGACTGTGACAATTCTCTTCTCTGTGGCTGTTCCTGTGTGCCATGCCCAGAAGAAGATCCAACGGGCAGTTTTGTCTTCAACATGACATTTGACCCCTAAGGATCTCTTACTGGAAGATGAAAAGGTATCAGCACCTTTTCTTGTGCGTTGTATGCTTGGCTTCCCTTCCTTTCTAACAACACTGTTGACTGTGGTTGCAGCTCCACAAGGGCAAATCTTGTGTTGTATCTCCAGTAACTGTCTGTGTGTTTGTGTTTTAGTGAGTCTGTGTCCCATCTTTTCTTGCTGGTTTTGGATTTCCTGCTTGATGCTCTAACCACTAGTCTCTTCCTCAGTATATCTGTTTTGGTGGCTTGCCCAGGCCTGCTGACATGGATGTCATGGTGTCTGCTCCGTTGGTCAAGTCACTCCTCATTTTGTTCCTTGATTTTAAAGAGTTGCTATCGAATCCAATGAGTTGTGGTGGCGGTGGGGCTGTCCGGTTCATTAAACGCAGCTGACTGCTCCTTTCACTGTGTGGAGCACTGTACCTCTATCTATCCGATAAGATAACTCTATTCTGAGTTCGGTACTGAAAGAATCTTAAAGGATTCATCAATAGCCACATTCTGTTTACTCAGTAGAGCATACATAGTATCTGCCTATACTCATTACGTCAATTGCACCTGCGCTATAGGTTCTGGGCCCGTAACGATAAAAACAATTCAATCACACTGTGCCAGCCATCTCCAAACAATCTCACAAGACTTATTTGCACTCCCTCTTGGCGCAGATTCTGCAACGCTTCTCGCATCGGCCAGACTGACAATCTGATCCGTGCTTGCAAGGATCCCCACGGCTACCGTCATAACAGCGGAGATGCTGACAGTAGCCGAGACAGTCAGAATCCGCTCCACAGCTACCTCCTTCGCCCTTCTTGCTCGTGCACTGCTTGCCCAAAGCAAAACCCTGACAAGTGAGGCTTCCCGCACAATCGGAGTCGCTGCCACAACTGTCGCCCTCGGATCCGTCCCAACAAATGAGATTGTGACAGTAGCCAATGCAATCCGCATCCGCTCCACATTGAGCGCCTTCTTCTTTCTTACTCGTGCATTTCTTGCTCAGACCAACGCCATAGCAAGTGAGGCTGCCCTGGCAATCCGAGTCATTCCCGCAATCGTCACCATCACTCCCATCCCAACATTTCAGGTTGTGACAATATCCAAGGCACTCCTCATCGGTACCACAGCCTCCTCCTTCAGGTTCCTGATCCCGACAAGTCTTGAAGGCAAGAGCGCCAACGCAATTCAAGTCGCCTTGACAATCCGAATCATTGGCACAGCTGTCGCCATCCACTCCATCCCAGCACAAACCATTGTTGCAGTAGCCAATGCAGACGGCATCACGGGAACAGGGAACCCCCTTTTCACTTGGCTCGTAACATTTCGACTCGAAGGGACCCAAATGATCACCAAAGGCTCCTGGCAGGCCCATGCAAACGAGACCGTCTTGGCATTCGGAATCGACAAGACACTTATCGCCTGCAGAGCCGTCATAGCACTTCAGATCTTGACAGTATTCGCCTTCTGGACAGGCGCGGTCTGCCGCGCAATCGATCAAGGATCGACCACGAAAGTTGGCGGTCGTTCCATCTGCACGGGGTGCTACGGCAAGGAATGCCGTCGAAAGGATGAGTGGGGAAGAGAACTTCATTTTGTTCCTTTTATTTTTGTATTCCTATTTTGGTGTTATCGTTCAAGATTAGATTAATAAAAATGAGGGGTGAGGAGAATCGAGATACGAGGATAAGACAGTCGGAACGGGTTACTGTGAATACCGTTGATGGTCTGTGGAACGCAAAAGGCGGCGCACCAAAACCCTGTTCCGAACGCGGGTGGGACTGGAGGGTCTGCACGGAATGGTGAACGGTCCACTGTGATACGCACCGCTCACGTGAGCTGCAGTACCGCGGTAGAACGTACTGCACTTGCCCCAAAAACACCATGTGGAGACATAAGCCCCAATCCAGGCCCGCTTTTTTTAGGATCGGAAACAATAAGCTGCCCCGCATCTTCGATGTAACAAATGCTGAATCCACATGCCTAGCGTTTGTCTTGTCAGCGATTGCATCGGGTGACCTCCTGCATTTCAACGACACAGTCCTGGAAGTATCTAGTGATCTTGTTGTGTCTGGGCTACCGCAATAATTGCAGAAATTACCTCCACTGCCTGTCCAAAAAAGATTCACCCGCCAACGAACCAGTTCTGCTGGACCACATGCAGCATTGAGCGTCTGTCATGGCTTTTTGAATGCGGTTTATCCGCAAGTCGGGTTCCGACGCTATTAGCATCCATATCCCGAGCTCTGAGGTCGAAAGTGGCAAAGTCAGCCAACAATGCATGCATGAATCAAAGTCCAGAGAAGGCATGCAAAGAAGTGGTGCTTGCGGCTCATTGCGGGCTATCGATAGTACCAGCAGTATCGAATGCAAAAACGAAGCCATCAGCGAGGCTTGCGATTTGGAGGAAAGTTTGAAAACCTTTGCTTGAGGTAACCAAAGATCCGCACCTCAACCAGTCGGAAGATCCAAAGATTCAAAAGATACACAACAGAGGTGCGTATTTTGCATGACATTTGGCTTAAACCGATCTCATGCGAAAAGCTGGGCTGAGTCCTCAGTCACTCATCAACAGTTGGGGAAAGCGCTATAAAGAAATTGAGCAAGCGGCAAGTCGAAAGCCCCAGGGTGGCTGGAGCCTCTTGCATTAGTCGCAAGAAGCGCGAAGATACCGTCGAGTGACAATCGCGACGATCGAAGCATGATGGCCATCAGTCAAGCAAGTGCACGAATTTTAAATTTGATGAGTTGTGTAGGCGGTGGGACGTTTGGCGTGGGATACCGCACCAGTACGGGTGGACATTGTTCGGACCACTATGATATGACTGCTCTTTTCGCTGAGTCACTCTATCAATGCATGTAGTATTTATCAAATACCCATTCTAGTGACCCGATGACCCCACTAAAAGGTGACTCATAATTCGTCTGTGCACCTCCCTTTTCCTCTCACTTTTTCCTTGTCGAACGTACACACCCTTCATTTCCATAAAGTAACGGACCGTCATTTCCATTGATCTCAAGATGCCGTAACTTACCATGATGACAAACCAAGCAGAGGAAGGAGGCCTTGACTCCAACGTCCACGATGATCTTTTGCAAAAACAACATGTTTCTATCGATCAGAATCCAGAGCCCGAGCAGCGACAAGAGGAGCCACAAGCACGAGAACCAGTGCAAGAAGCAATCACTATTAATAATGACCCCACTTCACTGGAGATTGGCATCAAGGAGGCAGCGCCGACCGCCCACCAGAACAACACCGTACCGCCGTTCCAAGGACAACTTCGATATCGCTTTCCCCGGATCTACTTTGTTTTGGCCCCCGTAACGGCGGAAGGCATTCACGGGAGGTTTTCTGACCATCATTGGTTTTCTAGCACTCAACAATACGGCTGCAACAGTCGTCAGAGTCCTGTTTGGGGACGTCTTTCTGAGATGTCAGCTAACGTTTTTGATCCGGGGCTCAATCGCATGCCTCTTCTGGCTGGCCATGATCATTGTATGGATGCTGATTTTAGCTCTGTCCATACAACTTTATAACGAGAACCGACTGGGTGGCGCAGATGCTGCAGACTTTCCTCTCAGTGATGCCTATTGGTTCAGCTACATCACCACGACAACAGTTGGGTAAGTAAGAGCTCGTCGACGCCGTGGATGGGCGACAAATCCATGAGTTGACCCTGGCTGGCTGATTGCTATCATTCTCTCTCGCGAACTTTCCATCCAATCCTACGTGTATCTTTCGTCAAAGGTTGGGTGATTTTCATTTTTCTCACGAAGAATTTGCAGTGGGTGACACGTTCTTTGTTCCTCTGCTGGTATTGATTGGCTTCAATTTTGTGGGTATCTTTGCAGAAAAGATGACTGACCTTTACAATCAATACTTTCCAGACAGAGGTGGATTTGAAACCATCATGGAATACAAAAGACAAAACCCAGAGCAATAGCTATACCGGTAGCAAGATACAACATTGGCACCGTGAAGGTGTCCTGACCCACACGGTTGGCAATGTTGGCATCCTTCCCAGAACCAGAAGTGAGGTCAAATTCTGCGTGTTGCAGCTGCCGGACACGTCATCGCATTAAGTGTACTAGTACTCAACCCCTAATGGAGAAAATTGTATTCCGCTTGGATTCCGGGCTGGCACAGAATCCTCAGAGCAACTGGCCCAATGAATGTTCTCAAAAGATGTGCACAAACTGTTTCGGGATGCAGACCTTCCCAAAATCGAATTTAAAGTGGCTGTGCCGATTTTGGAGGCGGATCGACACGTCCCGTCTATAGCGGTAGCCAAGCAACAACCAGAAGACCCAGCTCTGGCTACTGGTATACCTAGCGAGTCATTGCAGGCTGTTGTCTACAGTAGCATTGAAGTCAGTGTTGGTCAGATAATAGTTAGTTGTCCAAGACAAGATGGTGGATATCTTTTTGATCATTGTGACATTGGTGGCATTCTTAATTTTGACGGTTGTGGCCCTGTATCTGTTGGTCCACTACCAGCATCCGGATGACAAGAATGAAGCCTATTTACCGAAGTTTGTAGTGATATTTGGGTTCGTCTTGGCCGGAGCTACCGTCTTGATGCTACCCTTGGATGTCGCCAACAATGAGGGATATGCCGGTACGCAGAAGATACTCATGCACCATGCACACCACGAGTCGACGTCTTATGTTATCTAACTTTTCTAACCACTATCATCAGGATGTGCTGGTTACGATACCAGTTTCTGTGGGGGCCTCAACATGGAATTCATGTGGTCGATTGTGTTTTGGGCCATTCCGATTTGGGTATTTGTCCTGATTCCCTTCTCCACTTTTTACTACGAAGCCGATGATGGTATGCTCATGGCAGGAACCAGTTATCAACCAGATGGGGCACCGAAATCCAAAATTGCTTCAGCTTGCTGCTATCAAATGTTTGTGTTCGTCATTGTCGGAGCCATTTTTGCCGCTTCCTACTTCATCTTTAGCGAAACCAACATTCCCGTCCGGAGCTACCAAGGAGCCAGCTTGCTCAATGGGTTCGCCCATACCGTCATTCCAAAACGAAATTTAACCAGCGGAGAACTATTGCCATTTTCATCCCATCAATTAGTTCCCATGAGGCAAACAGATGTCAATTACTTCAGGTCCGTTGCCACTGAGGGATTTGTCGACCTCACACTCACCGTATCGGTCTCCAACTTTTATGCTGGTCTCATGGCTTTCTTCGGATGGTTCCTATTTGCCATTTTTGGTGGTGTTGGATTGGCTGCTATGCCCCTCGATCTCATCATGATGTACATTAAGCGACCTCGGCATTTGGACGCACAGGAATTTCAAGAATTGCAAACCAGTCTCCGAGAACGCACCAACGAATTGGTCGATATTGGAGAACTCATCAAGATTGAACGAGACGAAAAGGCAAAGTTGGGATTGACCAGCGGATGGGGGGCCGCACTGTTTGATTCGGACAAACGAAAGGAAGCTCGAGACGAACGACAAGCCATTTTGGGATTCCAGCAAGCCGTGTACCTTTTGGAACAGGACGTGGAGGACTTTCAAGCCTGCCATGCCAATTATGAAAACTACAATCCATTGATCCCTTACATTGGCTTGGTTTGTGGATTCATCTCTTTCATTATCTCGGTTATGTGGTTCCTACACATTGTTATTTATGTGCTTCCAACGCCGCCACTGCGACCCTTTCTCAACAATTTCTTTGGATGGTTCGACAAGTGGTTCCCGCTCTTTGGTGTTCTGAGTGTTGCAATCTTTACGGTGTATTTGCTACTATGTGCCATCAAAGGTTGCTTCAAACTAGGAATGCGCTTCTTGTGCATGACGTTGCATCCCATGAAACCAGGCAAGACTTACATGAGTTCCTTCATGTTCAACATTGGATTGGTGCTATTGTGTGCTCTGCCCGTGGTGCAGTTTTGCAGTACGGCATTTGCCGACTATGCCAAGTATGCCACTATTCGACAGATATTTGGAGTCCAGATTGAATACCTGCGTTTCTTCTCCTTCTTTTGGAAGAATGATGTTTTCATCTTCTTCTTTTTGATCATAATGCTCTTGACATCGGTCTACTTGGTCTGCAAACCGGCCGATCAGTCCACCAATTCGCAAGCCTTGCGAGATCGGCTCAATTCTCACAGAAGATAGAATGCATGAGTGTTGGATAGTGGACAGCAACAACACCACAACAATATGCGCCATGAGAGATCCTTTAGTTGTGCGATGGATAGCATCTCTTCCAAACAATCAAACGATCAATCGTCAAGTGAATACTAGTAGTGTATGGATTTTGCATATCGTATCATTTCCTAGAACGAGTTGGCACGGCTTGAATGTCTTGGTTGAGTGGCACTAGCCAGATAATATTGCAGCTTGGCTAGGATAAGCAGTATAAACAACATTGATGCATGTACCACGTAAGCAATCGGATCATTACACGTGAGGTATCTGGAGTCCCGAACCGACTGTGGCACTTGTTTCCACTAGTCGACAATTTCATTCGGCGACCAAAGAGGTGCATGTGGAGGGTCGCCGCGAACAGTCGGCAGCACTAATGAGACTCGACCAACGCATACCTTCCACGCGCAATCTGGAAGCCGTGGCATTGCCAGTGATACGGTAGTTGGCTCACGAAGAAATTGGCCATAACCTCCTGCCGAAAAGATGGTAAACAAAGCGGAGGAATCCATGACAGCCATCCATGCAGCTACGCGAAGATTGGCATGGTCCAACTCGGAATGACCACACCAACCAGCTGTCATTTCCACCGTATGGTTGTCAAGCATGTCAAATGCCAACCCGCAAGCAAGTCCGATTTTCCGAATGTGAAAATGATGCCGAGGAAGAGAGGCAAGCGGTGGATCCTCCAAGGCGTCTAGCGACAAAATGCAGAGGTCCAATTAGTAAGAGGCGTGAGGAGACCGCGGCAGTCTCCTCAGAGGGCAGTCACGGATTCAGAAACTCGGTGTGTCATCAATACCAACAAAGAAGACTCCGCCAACAGCTTGTTGGAATCCAAACTACCACCGCTGATTCATGTGTGCATGACAGCTGCCAGCAATCAACAACAGTTACGTCAGATGCAGAGAGTAAGCTTGAATAGGACCACAGGCAGATCTGCTTGGCATAGCCATATCAACGCGCAGTCGACAATCTCTGCCTTGAACAAATAGCCTTCCGCGTGCTTGACATGTATGGGGATTGTGTTGCTGTGTTGGATGCCGGTATGGTGGGGCAGCCATCTGAAAGGATACTAAGTCTTTACACGGTAAATTCCAAGTGGCTATTGATGGTGTGCTTGGTGTGGCATATTGCAAACCTAGCTAGCTCGTACCGGTAGATTGCCAGGTTCAACAAGACAAGCTAAGCAACTTCACCGTGGAGCCAATCCACGGCAGGGTAGGGACAGACACCGTGGACCCTGGTTCTAAGATAATCAGTTCTGAACAAAATCTTGCTGTTTGCCCCCTCTTTTCTCAAGCAAGGATCTTGCAGCTAGTCTACGTATTTTGTTTCGGCCTTGCAAACGATACAAAAGACAATTATGACACAGTCACCTTGTCCTCAAAATGACTTCTCCATAAAGGACCTCCAGCTATTCAGCATAAGCCGTTGCCGTGGATCCAATAGCTGTGAGAACTCCCAACAAGATTTGTATATTCTGAGCCCACCGTTTGCCGAGATGGTTGCTTGTAGCTCCTTCGTCATGTTGAGATAATCAATTGTGGATGTTCCATGCTGTACCGGTAGCTGAACGCACTCAGTTGGATCATCCATCAATGCAACTCGCCACAAAAACAATATCCCACGGTTTTCTAAAGTAACAGTTGTGCCTGCTTTGCACTGAAAGCACAAGAGATTGGTGTTAAGTATGTTCCGCCGGAGTGAAGTTCGGCGGATCTTTCCTACTATTAGAGATCTTTACGCCTATCGATGGCATTAGCATCACGAGTACAATAGCCGTACAATCCCCCCCTCTCACCTTTACTGGCTACACAAAGTGCACTAGCTGGCAACCTTCACCAATACCGGAGGCAAGTTAACCTACCAACAGGCAGGCATGGGTTACTGGGTTCCATATCGGTAATAAGTACTGGTACTAGCTCGTTGAGAAGACTTAAAGACTGCCGGACGAATGACGATTCGAGTCGTGTATAAATCAGAATCCTAATCAATTTTTGGAGCCATCCTAATCAATTTTTGGAGCCGCTCCAAAAATTGATTAGGATAGCTCCAAAAATTGATTAGGATTCTGATTATCCACGACTCGAATCGAATCGTCATTCACTCATTCACTCCGATCCAAGGTGGCTCTTCCTTCCTCTTGCTCTGCGTACCGTACAGTACAGTACGGCACCGCAGAAGTCAGAATCATGTCAAGTGCAACGATGCAAGCAGAGGATGAAAAAGAAGAACCGAAGGATTCGCAACTTCTTCGTGCCATGTTGGAAACAAGGGCGCTTCACGACGTCGATTTGGAGGGCAGCAATGGAGTCAAGGTGAGCGCCAACGCGCCAACCGCTGCGTTCTGGTAGGTTGCTGTGAAGTCTTTGAGAAGATGCTGCTTGGAGAGTTCCGAGAAGCGTCCAGTCGACAAGTCAAGATTCTACAGTTTAGCGGCGAAGTCCTCTCAAGGCCGTCGTGGAATACATTTATATTCGAAAACCTCAAGCCACCAAGGATGCCATGGCCGCCAAAGATGGTGGTGTATCGTTTTCTCAAGTCCAAACTCTTGTGGCGCTGACAGGTGCGGCATCTTTCTTCGGCTTACCAATGCTTCGACAAAAGGTCCGATCTGTGTTTTCCATTGTGCTCCGGAAGAAGCCCTTGCTGTCCTTCTATGTGTTGGAAGCGTGTGCCGCGGAAGCTTCTGATGTTTCTACTGATCTGAAAGAACTGGCATTGATACATCTTCGCTCGGGATCTTTCAGCCCCAAAGACGATTTCAGTACTCTAACTGGTATGAGTGCGGCGTCCTTGGAAGAAGCCCTTCGAGACAATGAGATTGATGCCTACAAGCGCTTCTGCTTTTTGCGAGGTTGGGCAGAGAGCAACAACATCGAATCCAGCGGTCGAACATCTGATGCGAACGCACTTGGGAAACATATTCCAATGGAAGAAATCGATCCAACCCCCGTTATTTTTATACCATTTTGGCGACTGAAGTTACAAAAAATAGAAATCATGGCAGAAGCATACAAGAAACAAGCCTTGGCAAAGGAACATGGAATCACGTTGAAGAAACCTCGTCTGGAGCTTCCTGTGTGGAAGAGTTCAAAGTCAGAAGTGACCTGCCCGGATGATAAACAGAAGAATCATATAGTGGACGTGTTGCGTTGTGATCCAATGACTTCAGGGGTGTACGAGTGGTCGTTGGAAATTGAAGGATGCTGCTCAAATGACGGTGGATGGTCCCGTTGATTCCTCGTTTGTTGAAGAACCAAACTCTGCATTGGCCAGCATCAACAATGAAACTAGTGACAACCAGCAACTGGCAGTGGCCAATCCAGTCCTGGACGATCCTGATGAGGAGCAAATGATGCCACTGGCCAATCCAGTTGATCTTCAACAAGTTGCGGAGAGAGAGCAAAAACGAAGGAGGCAGCGGCAGTTATATATTTTATTGTTGGTGATACTGGTCATTGTGGCAGCCATTGTGGTTGGCACAGTCACTGGAAGACATCAGAACAGAGAGCCCGATGTTGTTGTCTTGGGGTCAACAGAGACACCAACTGTTTATGGCTCCATAGAGCCTTCCGAAGCACCATCATCAGCCCCCACTGGGGTTCTGGACCTGCTGTTGGATAATCTACCCCGTCAAACATTGGCTAGGCTCAACAGTGGCAGTGAAACACCTCAGTGGAGAGCATGGAATTGGCTTGTGAATCATCAAAACATCACATTTCTTTCAGAATGGAGAAAGGAACAATTGTTTGCTCTTGCTACATTCTACTATGCCGTTGAGGGAGAAAATTGGAACCCTCTGATAAAGGCGTTGGGGTGGATGGATGACACAGTGGAGGAGTGCAACTGGTTCTCCAGTGGATTTGGATTCTTCTATGAAGGAAAATTCTGGGAATTTCCACGTGTCAGCGCTTCATTTCCCTGCAACAATCATGGCAAATTTACCTCTCTTTGGTTGGAAGACCTCCAGCTTTCTGGTTTGACACCTTCTATTCCACCAGAGATCACCATGTTGACTGCCTTGTCACACCTTGAGCTTACTTTCATGAGATTGAGACATCAATTTCATCTCTCTTCCCTGCAGGATTGTATGAGATGACTGATTTGGCTGCTCTGGTATTGTCTGACGGACACATGACTGGGCAACTCCCAAGTGAGCTTGGACAGCTTATTGTTTTGGAAATGTTGTGGTTGTTGGAACATCAGTTATCAGGCCAGATTCCTTCAGAGCTTGGACAGCTAACTGGCTTACATGAGTTGGCATTTGGGGAAACCAGTTCACCGGGTGAATTCCTTCGGAACTTGGAAGTCTCACTAAAATGTCTCACTTGGAATTTACCATATATCAGTTCACCGGACCCCTTCCAT